GGCATTAAAATGTTTGATGGATCTCAGAGTCATTACATGGACACTTGCGTTTTAGGATGTGGAGATCTTCTGTTACTTGCGGAACTGACAGTTTACATGACCCAAAACACTGAAGAGCTTGAAAACTTGAAACCATCAACATTTCCATAACCCTTTCTATAAGTATTGTGGGACATTTAAAAAAAAAAACAACTGCTTACACCTTTAATTGCAATCATTGCTTGTTTTTCCAATACAGGCTTTATAAAGAATGCTATTAAGTAGATCAGTGCAATAAAAAATTAAATATAAAACACACAAATAAAAGATTAAAAACACTGAAAATGAAATAGTTTTGAAGATTCTGCTAGCAATTCCTGCTAAAAGTTGAGTCAAAAATCGACATTTTTAACACTTCAGACAAATGATTTAAGAAGTAGAGCATATTTAAATCTTAAATTTCCATGATCATGGGAAACCATCTTCATTCAAGAGAATTTTTATAAATTTTTAAATTACCAAACCAATATTCTCAGAATACAACCATAGGCCTTAAGGAGAATTTGACATAGAAATGTATGACCTTCCTTTACTATTCCTGAGCTGGTACAAGAAAGAGTACAATCTGTGAAGATGGACCAAAGAAGCTTGTCACAATTAAACAATTCAATCTGTCACAAGGCATTCTTTTTTTATTAAAATTCAACAAACTTCAATTACAGTGCACAAACAGCAACATGTACATAAAGGCTGAAGATTAAGATGTTTTGAGAACAGGTCCATGGCAGAGATCCTTGCCATCAACTTATGTACAATAAAACTGCATTTAATTATAAAATGGCCTGTAATAGTTAAGGTCACAAAAAAATGAATGTGACAAAATGTATATGACCATAGACATCCATATCCATTTAAGCCAAAGGTGATTTGGCATGACTCCTTCTGATATTAAATCATGATACAGATTTGGTGCAAAAGTTTGGACACCCAACCCATAGAAAGGTGTTTTCAGACTATTCCCTACACTATACAGCAAGTATAGACATCAAAACTATAATATATGGAATTATGCAGTGACCAAAAAAAAAAAAACAAAAAAAAAAAAAACAATTGAATCACAATTGAACCAGGTTGCTGGTTCAAATCCCTTGGTCCACAGAGTGATGCCACCATTGCGCCCTAAGAAAAGCCCTTAAGCTCAATTGCCCCAGGGACTGCCTGACCCTCCAGCCTCCTCTACGCCAGTTCCATGAGGCGGCCTCCTGGGATGCTTTTCCAGCTGTCCTGAAGGAGGTCTCACATATTTGCTGAGCACTCATTGGCTGCATTTCCTCCACTATCTGGTCAAACTCCTCAACAACCATCTATACTAGGTACAGGTCAGGGAGCCAGGTCATGTGATGCAACCTTATCACTCTCCTTTGTAGGCAGCCTGATGTGTCCAAACTTTTGACCGGTACTGTATATTTATCTAATAAAGCAGACTTTGACTACATGTGGTTCCTTTGCTGGTGTGTTTTGAGATTACGTATCCATGCAAACCTTCTCCCACAGTGTGCACAGCTAAACGGCTTCTCTCCTGTGTGAACCCTCTGATGTTTTTTCAGGTTACCCGACTCGGCAAACCATTTCCCACAAAGTGTGCATCTAAATGGCTTCTCCCCAGTGTGAACTCTCAGGTGGATCTCCACCTTTTTTGGCCGATTAAAAGCTTTTCCACAAATTGTGCAAACAAACAGCTTCTCTCTTGCACCCATCCTGCTTTGGGTTTTAATGTCTTTGGGTGTGATTAGACTGGCCTCACAGGGAAGGAATCCATTCATATCTATGGCATCTGATCTGGACTCTCCCACGCTCTCGCTCACAGTCATTGGGACCCGTGGTGGACACGTGTCGAACACACTCTCTCTCTGCTTCCTGTCCCCGCGTCCCTCTCCTTTGTCATGACTACGTGCTGCGTACACCGCTGCTGCAGGGAGCGCGTCACCATCCCATGCTGAGCACACGTCGGCCTCCGCGTCCTCGGGCACTGAGTCTACCATCACAAGCTCTGGCTTCATGTCCGCAGAGCCGACAGAGACACTGTCACCTGCGTCTTCTGCTGCTGAAATATGCTGCAGCTCTGAGTGAAACGACAAGCCCTCAGAGTCCATTTCTGTGGCATAAGAGCACGAAGGATCATCTGCATCTGTCTCATCGACCCCGTGTGCAAAGAACGTCCTCAGGTGGCCACGTCTGCTGTATGCAGTGTAATCACAGTAGAGACTGGCCAGTCTTCCTGTGCTCTGTTCAGAGGCTGAATGCTGGAGCACTTTTCTCCCACTGGCTCTCTCTGGCTCTGCTTTAAGGACCGTTTCCAATCCACTGACCTCCGAAAGACAGCGGTGGCTCCCATGGTGCTCAGTAAACTCCTCGTGGCCTTTCGAAGCCTTTGGAGAAGCCGTGTTTATGACCGGGTCCAGGTTGCGAACAGCCGCCCCCACTGTGACCTCTGCAGATGATGCAAGAGCCAAATTATTATAGCACTGCAGATAATCCCTGCAGGTCCAACCTTCACACTGGTGGCAAATTGTTAGTTAAGAAACCAAAACATTAGGGCAGTTAGAGACAAAGCCCCAATGCTTCTGTGCACATCTTACAGATATATTCAACATTATATTGTTTCATGCCTCCTTAACCAAATCAATCTCTCCATTAATTCCCAGCGCACCCTTACTTTCTGCTCTCAGGTCCAGATCTCCATGCAGACTGGCTCGCTCCAGATCCTCCTCAAGTCTCTCCTCCTTGATGAGCAGCGATTCAGGTCCTGCATCCTCCTCCATGTCGGCTGACTGAAATAAGGAGTACTCGTCAGACCTCTGACCAAATCGACCCCATAACTCTCCCCATGTTTAAAGTTACATATAACCTTCGATCCAAACTCCAAGTGCTTGTTCAGGACAGGGCATGGACCTATGCTAGGCACGGAACAGGTGCCAGACATTAAGATGAAGATCAACATTATCAAGGGAAATTCTTGTGCATACAACAGTAAGTACATAGATCATTGGCGAACATACAGAATTGAGTTTCACCCGCAAACAATTACACACACACACACGTTCAGCCAGCTGCATTGGACTGTGGGACAAAACCAGAGGAACACAGAGAGAGTGTGCAAACTGCACACAGCCACAGGGCCCCACAGGGCAGAGGTGGGATTCTAAGTCCTGCGGTGGGAGGAGACAAAGCTCTTTGTCTGCATCCTGCTTTGTAATACAAACATTTCCAACAGTTCCTCTAGAGCAGCGTTTTTCAAACCAGTCCTTGGGGACTCCTGGACGGTCCACGTTTTTGTTCTCTCCCAATTCCCTGAGAGTTGGGATGGAGCAAAAACATGGACCACTTGAGGTCCCCAAGGACTTGGTTGAGAAACACAAATAAATCTAGGAATAAGGAGCATCAGACAGACTAAGCCTCACCCTACTTGCTCTCTTAGCAGTGACTGAATCTTTTTCACACGGAGTCACACCGTTACTTTCACTAAGACGGAATAAACAGCCCCAGCCGAGGCCCCATCCGACCTGCTCCATGTTGCACGGCGGCAGGCCCCCGTCCTCGGAGTCTCCTCTTCCCCGCTTCTGCCGGCCGAAGGGCCGCCCTTCGCGGCTCTCTGGGTGGAAAGGCACAAGCTGAACTTGATAACCGGAAAAACGGTTTGTCAACCGGGCCGCTGCGGACCGGAGCTCACCCAGGAAGCGCCCCCTTTAGCGAAGCAAACTTACCGACTGCCGCGTCTCCTGAACAGCTGCCAGCGGAGCCCGGCTCCCTCGCCGGCCCGGGTTCCAGCAGCTGGATCCTCCGCTTGAGGGCCCGGTTCTCCCTCTGCGCCTGGGTCACCTGGAGGCGCAGTAGCGCGTATCCATCGTCCACCAGCTTGCAGATCTCCGCCACGGCCGCGTTAGCCAACACCTCCATGACGGAGGCCAGCTGCGAGTGAAGCGCCGCACGGTCCATGGTGCCCGGCTGCCCGAATCTGGTTGTACCCACCGATACGGTGCTGCTGAGATGCCGCTCCTTCCCTAAGCGTCACCCCCTCAGAGTCCCACGGAGGCGCTACAGCGGATTAAAATGCCGGCGCCTTTTGTCGCGCGCTCTCATCACATCAGCGCTAGTTTCCGGTCTGCAGGGCGGCGCTGGTGGACGGCACCCTACCATAAATACCCGAAAACTCTGACTGTAACGTAAATACCCGAATAAAGACCCCACGCTTTGTGGTCTACACTGCCGGAAAGCTTTTGCAGGCGTATTCCGGCCAGATGATATCCGAACAGTTCAGTTTTTCCATAACAGGTGGGATAACAATAGTCTGTTTAAAGGAGGGAAGAAGGCGGAAATAATGGGAAGAAAACAATGAAGGAAAGATTGGGGAATGAGAAAAAGAAATGAGAAAGCGTTGTTGGTTCATTGCTTACAACATGGTGCCATTTTTCGTGAAACAGAAAAATTACGCTTTGCTTGTTTTTGACGGGGGAAGCAGGGATCCGAAGGTCCCGCTTGGAACATTTTGAACTAAACCTCAAATTTTGCTAAAAGAGATACCTGTACCTTTTATAGTGTAATGAATTAGACATTTTAATAGTGTCACTGGGACTGTTTTTTTTTTTTTTTGATTTTACGAAAATTATATTATCACATGGACAACTAAAATCAGAGTAAAATATTGATATAATATGTATAGCATATTATGAAATTACTGAATTAAAGCAATGATCCAATCAGATTTTAAAACGACCACTTATTTAAATACAGTTGAAATACCATAATTCTCTTGAATATAATGCTGTTTACTCTGATAACTTTTGCATTTCCAAAAGAGTAATTTATAATTTAATTTATTTTTAAATATAGCGACTTTCACAAGTCATCCCAAAGCACTTTACATGGATATAATGTTGTATAACTGGTTGCAAAAATAACAATATTGAGCAATATTTTGCATGTTATACATTTATAGCTTGATTAAAATAAGCCAAGTGAGATGACGGACATATTAAACTTTATTTTTGAAAAATTATAAACACATACAATATTAATAATTCTCACCCACTCAGTTTAAACCACCGCAAGCTTCACACATCCACTACAAAAACATTTACACACAGACTCAAACACACAAACACATAATAAATTGAACACTTTTTACATGAAAAATTAATGACTAAATGACAAACTTTTTTCTCTCAGCCCTCTTCCTACGCATGTCCTCCTTCCACTGCTGAAGTGACATGTCGGCATTATGAGGACAGTATATGTATCCGTAATATTGACTGTGACCATTGTCTTTGTGCCGAGGCTCATTGCACTTACTACACCGATTACTCCCAACTGTTCGTCTGTAGGCTCTCTTGGCAGGTGCAGTAGGGCCTACAGGAGCAATAGGGACAGCAGCAGGGATTTGAGGTGTTACCACCATGAAGATGGAGCTTTGGACAGGAGTGGGAGTTGTAAGAGAAACTGGATGAGGGGCAGAAACTGCAGGCTGATGTATAATTTGCCTTGGTACAGATATCCTTGAGCATGCTGCATGTGGAGCGTCTGTGTATGGAGCTACAGATCTCCCTTTATCCATTGCCTGTCCTGCAGTGCTTGCAGGCCAGTGGTACTGATGCAGGGGGCCGGAATATGGAAGAGGGGCAGTGGGACGTGACTGGTTAGGTGGCAGGGGGACAGGAGCAACAGAAGTCATTGGGACCTGTGGGAGACAAACGTTGAACACCCTCTCTCTCTCCTTCCTGTCCCCATGTCCCTCTCCTTTGTCATGACTACGCGCTGCGAATGCCGCTGCCACAGGGAGCGCGTCACCGTCCCATGCTGAGCACACGTCGGCCTCCGTGTCCTCGGGCAGTGAGTCTACCATCACAAGCTCTGGCTTCATGTCCGCAGAGCCGACAGAGACACTGTCACCCGCGTCTTCTGCTGCTGAAATATGCTGCAGCTCTGAGTGAAACGACAAGCCCTCAGAGTCCATTTCTGTGGCATAAGAGCACGAAGGATCATCTGCATCTGTCTCATCGACCCCATGTGCAAAGAACGTCCTCAGGTGGCCACGTCTGCTGTATGCAGTGTAATCACAGTAGAGACTGGCCAGTCTTCCTGTGCTCTGTTCAGAGGCTGAATGCTGGAGCACTTTTCTCCCACTGGCTCTCTCTGGCTCTGCTTTAAGGACAGTTTCCAATCCACTGACCTCCGAAAGACAGCGGTGGCTCCCATGGTGCTCAGTAAACTCCTCGTGGCCTTTCGAAGCCTTTGGAGAAGCCGTGTTTATGACCGGGTCCAGGTTGCGAACAGCCGCCCCCACTGTGACCTCTGCAGATGATGCAAGAGCCAAATTATTATAGCACTGCAGATAATCCCTGCAGGTCCAACCTTCACACTGGCGGCAAATTGTTAGTTAAGAAACCAAAACATTAGGGCAGTTAGAGACAACACAGCAATGCTTTTGTGCACCATTAATGAAGTAGAATAGCCACATTACTGCCTCTTACAGATATATTCAACATTATATTGTTTCATGCCTACTTAACCAAATCAAACTTTCCATTAACTCTCAGGAGTGGAGTGCATCGTCGGCCATGCAGTGTATTTTTCAGGTCTATTTCAGTTTATATTTCGCTGAAATCTTTTTGTAGAATCATGAAAAAAAATGCTGACTAAATCCGTAATCTGTCTTTTCAAAACGTCCATTGCCGGAAGTATTAAAGTTTTTAAAATTAGGTTAAAATCAGCAAAAAAGTAAAGAATGTCACCTTTGTTTGTTTTACCCTCATCGGGGTTGTGTAGTATCGCCCTCACCTTGAAGATCGCTATTCACATTCTAAATAGCCGCATTCGCGCGTATTCAAATCACATTTGCATGGTAATTTGATGAACAACGCAACGGTGAAACGTGATCCAGATACATCCCCGTCAGCGCCATAAAAGGGGGGGGGGGGACATGACCAGGTGTCAATGGCTCATGCTCAATGGAAGGAGACCAGAAATAGTGACATGAGTTACAAACTTAACAAATCTGACATATTTACAATATACATTAAAATTGAGTGTAATGCCAAAACAAATATATTAGAAATAATTTGCCATTAATTAAGTGTATGATACTTGAAGAAATGTGTGATTATACCCCAGTCAGTGAAAGCGTGTTCCATACCCCTTGTCCCCAGAGGGTTAATTCCCAGCGCGTATCCATCGTTACTTTCTGTCTTCAAGTCCAGATCTCCATGCAGACTGGCTCGCTCCAGATCCTCCTCAAGTCTCTCCTCCTTGATGAGCAGCGATTCAGGTCCTGCATCCTCCTCCATGTCGACTGACTGAAATAAGGAGTACTCGTCAGACCTCTGACCAAATCGACCCCATAACTCTCCCCATGTTTAAAGTTACATATAACCTTCGATCCAAACTCCAAGTGCTTGTTCAGGACAGGGCATGGACCTATGCTAGGCACGGAACAGGTGCCAGACATTAAGATGAAGATCAACATTATCAAGGGAAATTCTTGTGCATACAACAGTAAGTACGTAGATCATTGGCGAACATACAGAATTGAGTTTCACCCGCAAACAATTACACACACACACACGTTCAGCCAGCTGCATTGGACTGTGGGACAAAACCAGAGGAACACAGAGAGAGTGTGCAAACTGCACACAGCCACAGGGCCCCACAGGGCAGAGGTGGGATTCTAAGTCCTGCGGTGGGAGGAGACAAAGCTCTTTGTCTGCATCCTGCTTTGTAATACAAACATTTCCAACAGTTCCTCTAGAGCAGCGTTTTTCAAACCAGTCCTTGGGGACTCCTGGACGGTCCACGTTTTTGTTCTCTCCCAATTCCCTGATAGTTGGGATGGAGCAAAAACATGGACCACATGAGGTCCCCGAGGACTTGTTTGAGAAACACAAATAAATCTAGGAATAAGGAGCATCAGACAGACTAAGCCTCACCCTACTTGCTCTCTTAGCAGTGACTGAATCTTTTTCACACGGAGTCTCAGCGTTACTTTCACGAATACGGAATAAACAGCCCCAGCCGAGGCCCCATCCGATTGCATATTTGTTTTCCCCCCCAAACCAGTTCACCGCACCCAACTTAAGTGTAAACCACATCTGGCAACCCTGACGAACTACACCATGCATCTCTGACACGCTGCACGTGCTGATGTGAACTGTAGTGTTTATGTGGGAAATAGAACTAGCAGCAGGGTTTTAGACAGATGTGGCTTTTCACAGTGTGAAGAACAAGAAATGATCAGCAGGGGCATAGAAAGCAGGGGGGTGTGTAACCCCCCAGTGTTTAATTTGGATTCATTCATCTCCTCAATAAACAGACCTTTGTATTTAAATTGTCCCCCCCCCCCGAATCGTACTCACCCCCTTCACCATAGACAATAAAGGCAAATTGACATTAGCCTTCAGTGACATTACAATGTCAGAATTATATAAGGTTTGTTAAATAAATATATACAGGTTTCATTAGTAATTCTAGTCTTGATCTCTTTATATATGGGAAAAACAACATCCTTCAGAAAGAGACGCTGGGTGTGATGAGGATAGCTGTACAGCTTAAGATTAGGGCCGAATCCCAGTTTTCCGCCAGATACATTAGAGCTAGTCTGGATCAGCCACTGTTCAGCCAGCTGGGGGGCGTGGTCTGTGCTGAACTGCTTTGGAGGAAAAAAAGAATGCCATCCAACCTGCTTCATGCTGCATGGCAGCGGCGCAACATCCTCTACGTCTCCTCTTCCCCGCTTCTGCCGGCCGCGGGGCACACACTCAACTTGATAACCGGAAAAATGACAGAGCATTAAACTCATCTACTGATCAGTGATCATCATCATCATCATCATCATCATCTTCTTCCAAACAAAACAGCCAATTACAGTATTCAAAGTGACCAATCAGCGAACTGCAGAAATCAGCCACTTTTCCCGCCTCCAAAGTCTCAAAATTCAACCTGTCGAGTGAGCGAGTGCAGTGCAGACGCGAGCGCGGGAAGGGGATGGGTTTCCTGCTCGCGAGAGCATACGCGCGCGATTTTTAGACTAATTAATTAAACGCCACAGAAGCGGCCCCTTTAACGAAGTAAACTTACTGACTGCCGCGTTTCCTGAGCAGCAGCCAGCGCAGCCCGGCTCCCTCGTCGGCCCGGGTTCCAGCAGCTGGATCCTCCGCTTGAGGGCCCGGTTCTCCCTCTGCGCCTGGGTCACCTGGAGGCGCAGCAGTGCGTATCCATCGTCCACCAGCTTGCAGATCTCCGCCACGGCCGCGTTAGCCAACACCTCCATGATGGAGGCCAGCTGCGAGTGAAGCGCCGCACGGTCCATGGTGCCCGGCTGCCCGAATCTGGTTGTACCCACCGATACGGTGCTGCTGAGATGCCGCTCCTTCCCTAAGCGTCACCCCCTCAGAATCCCACGGAGGCGCTACAGCGAAGTAAAATGCCGGCGCCTTTTGCCGCGCACTCACATCACATCAGTGCTAGTTTCCAGTCTACAGGTCTGCACTGGCGGACGGCACCCTACCATAAGTATCCGAAAACGCTGACTGTACGTTAACGTAAATGCACAAATAAAGACGCCTTAGCGTTTTTTTAAACGCTAAGGCGCACAAATGGACGTGCAGTCAGAGGAAGCAGAGCCTCACCATCCAATGAAAATAGCCTTTACGAAAACTACATATATTATAAATAATAAAGATATTTTTCCAATGAACTGTTACACATCATAGAAATTCATAACCAGAAGATCAATGACTGGCCTTGTTAATCATTTTAATTTTGATATTATGCTTGTATTGTTAGTTATATTTATTCGACTTCTTAACCCCTGGGTAGCGACACAAATTTGGGTTGTAGCAAGTTCTGAAAGGGTCGCAAGGCAGAGTTGCAAATGAAAGCATATTAGGACCAGCAAGCTCCTATGCTGATCCACCATCAGATTTCCCAATCCCAATCCGAGCATTAACCTATATAAACGGGTCTGGAGTCTGCAAATGCACGTACCGTGTCCTAATAATGAAATTTGCACAATCAGAATAAAATACCTATAGTTTTTAATCGCAGTTTCATGTTCTGATAGCTTACATTTCATTATCAGAACAAGTTGCTGATGTTGTGCTTTATTTTTAAGCAGTCACCCTGTAATGTTTTTAACATTGCTGTCATCCAAGAAGGTACCTGAAAACATATTGTTAAGTGTAATCTGCCTCCCTCTTTGAACTCGAGATTTCTGTTCTTTTTTGGAGTCTTTGCAAATGCTTCATCATTCTTTGTTGTGACCGAGTAAAATTTTCCTTAACCATTATTCTTGTACTGCCTTGAGCTTTTTGTTTGTCCTATACAAAAGGAACTATAATATTCAGGGACTTTTATTATAGACAGCTACATTAGAAATATTTGTTAAAGATATTTGTGCAATATACAGCATCCAACATTACACAATGTTACATACATGCAGGGGCGGATTAAGGTGCACAGAGGCCCCTAGGCTACAGTAGTCTGTGGGGCCCCCAACCCCGCCCCCCTCCGCGCCAATGGGGCCCCCCTTGCAGGCTGGCACACGTGGGGCCCCTAGGCTTAAGCCATATCTAGCCTGTGCGTTAATCCGCCCCTGCATACATGCTTATAAAAGGTACTGAAATACAATCCCCAGGAGTTAATGAATGGGATATCATTTATGAAATCATGAGAGAAATGGAAACAGCAAGCCAAACAAAAGACTTACCAGCATTTTAACAGGCACTTTTGAGGGAAATCTAGCCTGTCTTCCATACATTAACTTAAATGGGGAGAATTTTGTCGTGGTGTGTATTTTAGATCGCAGTGAAAACAAAGTTGCATCGAGGCATAGGTCCCAGTGATTCTGTTGCTGATTCACCAGCTCTTTAAGTGCTCTAAGAAAAATAATATTTATTATGTTTGCATTAATAATACAGAAAACCTGAGCAACATTATATACATGTCTAAAAAAACACTGTCACAAAGTTCCACTTTCAACTACAGAGATTTGTTAAGACTCAAACCTGATTACAGAAATTCAACATAAACTCGGATGGTGGGCAACTATATCAAACAACATAAATAGCACAAGATATGGCTAAAAATCATTCAATAAAAAGATGAGTTACCAAGTAAACAACTCAAACAGACAGTTCCATCCCCAATAGCAAATCTGGGAAGAACATTTAAACATACTACAGGCTTACCGTTTGAGGTCATCATTAGTCGTCTCATCGAGCACATTTGTTTGTGGATGGTAGGCAGCAATTATACTCCTCTCAATGGACAGTAGTTTGCAGAGTTTGTCATTAATCTCAATGCAAGAAATCCAGGACATTACAGTTATTACATTTTGCATCAAGTTGAGCCACAGAACCACCACAAAATGCTTACAGTACAACTCACCTGATTTACAAACTCCTGTCCTTGGTCTGATAATATGCGCTGAGGACATCCAAGTCTGTAAATAAGTGCGCATAGGTTCTTTGCTACTTCCACTGCAGACTTTGTTTTTTGAGGGAAGGCCTCCACCCACTTCGAAAAATAGTCAGTTGCCATTAAAATATACTGAAAGCCAGTGGACGTTTTTGGGAGTGGACCAGAAAGGTCAATTCCAATCAGCTCCCAAACTGCAGATACCTATCGATAAAATACAGTGATATTGGACTGAACTGATCAAGTACTGCAGTGGATTAATATAATACTGTGCATTACAACATGTCAATGGCAATGATGACCTTGATGCAGTCCATTGATTTCACTGCAGTCAACGGAGGTCCAACTCTTTGACATTGGTCACATTCAGACACCTTAAAAAAATGAGTGTTAAGTTTCATATACAGTCGTGTACATCTCTGCTCAATATTATACTTCAACAACTACGTACCCATTTCGCAACGTCTGTAGTCATGCCATACCAGTAGAATCTTGAGCACATGGCAGTTCGTGTTTTTATTACACCAGCGTGGCCCCCAATTGGTGAGGCATGAAATTCTTTAAAAAGATTCATTGCCTCCTCTTTCGTTTTTATTACTCTTCGTTGATTTGTACCACCAAAAAAGAGTTTCCCATCTATTAAATTAATTCAAATATTAACATATTAATGTGATCATTATTACCATAATTAAGCTACTATCTCTATCTTTTGTTAAATACTGACCATGAATGCTGAATTTTGACGAGTATTTTCTGAGGGTTTGCCTCTGTCCTTTATCTAGTCCCACTGAGTATAACCCCTTAGAAAGGTAATTGAAAATTTCCTCCCACTTTTTTTCCATGGCTGCAAAAATGAGAGATATACAACAAATTGAAACAAAATAACTGATTAAAAGTAGCATTTTAAGTTAAACATTCAATTACAACTAAGGGGTCTCAAACTCCAGTCCTGGAGGGCCGGAGCCCTGTGTAGCTTAGTTCTTTCCCCCTTCCATCACAGATGATTCAGCTCAAGAGCTGTGTGGTAATTAGCACAAGGAGTTGAATCAGGTGTGTTAAATGAGGGTAACAGATAATCAGGCACTTCAGTAGTACCTTAGTATTAGAGTCAGCTGTGTTGAAGTTAAGATGGTTCTCATACTGAGGGCCTGATTATCTGTATCAGGTGTGTTAAATTAGGGCTGCACCTAAGCTCTGTAGGGTGGTAGCTCTCCAGGAGCAGGACTGGGCACCCCTGCTGTAGCACATTTGTAACGGAGCTTGCTTCCTTCCAGTACTCACTGTTCCAGCAGTTGTCTTTTATTTATTCGGAATATGGTAACATTTTACTTGAGGGGGCACATATACTTAATAATAACTCAATTACTACTTAAATGCAAATTATGAACAAATACAGACGCTACTTCAGATAAAAATTGCGTCCCGATTTATTAATGAATTTATGGACCGTTCTGTAATTTAAAAACTTTTTTCCAGAGTGCGATAAACTACAGATAATTGAAACCACGGATCCCACTGGAACGTTGACATAATAATCCGATCAAATTTTAATACCTGTGAAAGTCGTATTTAAGTTATTTTAAGGCCTAAAATTCAGATTATTGAAATTTAGACTTATTAATGACCCGCGGAAACCCTGTATATTTGTATCCCGTCAAGTGTCATCCGTAATATTACGAACTGACAGCAAATGAACAGAAACAGACAACGCAATAAACTAAAACTAAAAGAATGTGTTTGACAGAATGCTAGAATATTTTTTCAACGGTGGGTTTAATTTATGTACCAGCTCACGTTGGAGAAACACTGTAAATTATGCTACTTGTACACAGGCCTAGTTAGATCTACAACTACAGTTAATAATTAACGGATCGAGAAGCAGTATGAATTATGCTACTTGCACGTAGTCATAACTATAGCTACACGTAACACAACAGGAAAGCATAATTGTTTACTTTCTGTCCAATATTCTGTGCAATTCCTGACCTTCCGTCGAAATTTTTTGTAGCGGTATGCTGATTTTATGGGCTAGCTACAAACATTACGTAATTCTGTTCTACGCATGCGCTCTAAGCGATAGTATGACGTCTGATAGGGACACAACACCCAGGAAATTTTGCGTTGGTTCCCTGGTTTTGCTAAATGGCTTTCCGACTTATATGGAAATCGTTTAACTCGTGTGAGATGACAGTCCTAGTTCCGAGTTCCGACCTCCGAGGCAAATGGAACGGCATAGACAGTCGTGCTGGGCGCAACCAAGCGTAGAATTGAGAGGGGTGACACTTCTATTTTCTTTAACAAGCGAGAGGGTTGAGAGGGTTCATAAAAAGAAGAAAATGTATAATTTTCTACTGTATACTATATTGAGGTTGTCTCAGTCTTGGGGGGACATGACCCCCCCCCCTAAAAAAAAGTGTGGTTACGCCCATGGACATGACAATTTTAAACCATGTGCCCATATTTCCAGGAAGAGATTCCAGGTTCGCGGAGATCCTGTACTGCATAGCGGCAGGTGCGGAGTTCGGAAGAATTTGCCGACCTGAGGAGGGGATGTGATAGTAAATTGTTACGAAAAGGGGCACCTTATGTCAGTAAACTTTGCCGGCCTGGGGGTGGGCGGTGAGCTCCCTCTAAGTAGATTTTGGAGTCGGCCCCCTCCCGAAAATGGGTGGAATTCAGTTTAAACCACAGTTAACTATTAGCCTACCAAAAATAGTGAAAAAAACTGAAACCAAGGAAGCTTTATGGTCACATGCCGTGATTCCCGATGCAGAGTTGCAGCCATTGTATGTCTTGTCCTGCGTTAAAACACTTAAAATTGCCTTTACCTGGAAATTTTCCATTGCAGTTGAGATTAAGTACATGATAATCCCTCAGTGGCACACCGAAATGTGTGTGGCTGGTCCCGTCTTCCTGATGTTGTGTATCATATTAACTATTTACAATTTTCTAAAAGCAAGTCTTTAATCAGTAGTGAACCAAGTTCTGTGGGTTTTCTAGGACACATATGCAAGTCTTGTCCCAGGGGCTGTCGTGAGGGGGGGGCAGGTAGGATGACCATCTAATCCATGTTGGGGGGGGGGGGACACGATGAGCTTCTTCAGGTTTTATAAACCGCTTTAAAACAGAAATGTTCCTGTGCTTGGCTAAATAGTTCAGTTCTTCTTGTGCGTTGACTGGTTTATTTCCTTAATTGAAACTCATCCAACTGTTTTACATTAACATTAATGACACAGTCATAGGAGACTGACCATCAGCACACAGCAAGAACTCAGTGCTTAAATGAAATCCAGCTCTTTTTAGTTGAAATGTTAGTTTACAAACCCTGTTCTAGCTTCTAGCTCATTGTGTCTGGGAAGACATGGATTACATGGTCTCCCCAGGGGGTGGCATATTTCAATTAGTCTGGGTTGGGAATCCAAAATCTCTAATTTGTTTGTCCCGTATATTACCACTGCAGGTGATACTGAACGATCAGTTATTTTTCATTGACACCCTTGTAAAATGTCAGATCAAATGTGTAGTGTACTTACCTAAATTTTCAAATGTTCCAGAAACACTAGAAAAAACATAGAGCAGGGTTCTTCAACTCTGGACCTCGATTCCAAATCCAGGCCGTGTTTTCAGTTCTCCCAGGTAGTTGTTTAATAATCACTGATTCTGATTGGTCAGAGGCTTCACACCTGACTGACAGGTAAAGGAAGGCTGGAAAACCAGCAGTGCTCGGACCTTGAGTTGAATAACCCTGACGTAGAGGGTAAAATCAATAGCTTGTGATTAGAAAAAATATTTGGTATAGGTTTGATTTTTGTTTGTATTTGAAGTATTTCAGGTCCACCAACAGCAAAATGTTTTGTATGATCTATATTTTATTAATAATGTAAAAACTGAAGAATGTATTCCCAAGGTACCATTTCATGTAAGTACCTTTTCTGAGCCAGGTATTTTCCTTGTTACATTAAGAGCTCTTTGCATTAGCCTGTCCGCTCTTTATCATGTAACATCTACTCTCCAGGGAATACAGTAATGCAAGGACAGGTACACTAAAGCACATTTCCCAGTGGAGTTAATAGTTGTATAATAGTATACCACCTACTATACTTATAATATTGCAACACAACAACTGTTCTTTACCCTTATATATTTTTTTTCCACATAAATACACCAGGTGACATTAAAAATGACCTAATCTGCTGGTACAGATTCAATCTAAGTTAACGCTTGCAGGTGAATGGAGTTCACCTTGTACCAAATATGGCCATATGGTTCCTCTGCTGGTGGATTCTTAGGTAACTTCTCTCTGCGTATCGTTTGCCACAGTACGTACAGCTAAAGGGTCTCTCTCCGCTGTGAACCCGCTGGTGCATCTTCAGCTGGTGCAGGTGCGAGAAGCGCTTGTCACATTGCGTGCAGCTGAAGGGCTTCTCCCCCGTGTGGACTCGCTGATGGCGCTTAAGGTTACCAGAATGAGAAAATTGCTTTCGACACTGAGTGCAGCTGAACGGTTTCTCACCTGTATGGACTCTCTGGTGTATTTCAACTTGTTTTGGGAAATTGAATCCCTTCCCACAAAATGCACAAAAGAAGCGTTTCTCTTTTGTAGTCACCCTGCAATGAGTCTTATCCCTGTGGGGAGGGAGACAGTCTGTCGCCGAAGTGATACACTCGTCGGCGTTTGGGGTTTTGGACTCTGCCTCGTCTGCAACGCCTTTAGCTGCATGCTGCATGTGGGGGGGTCTCTGATCAGCGTGCAGCAGTAGCATGTCGGCTCTCCAGCTGCGGGGCCTTGAGGATGGGCCCAGGCTGGCACGCTCCTCAGTGGCAGGAACAAGCTGCTGATCCGAGCTTCCTGCTTGCGTCGGCTGTGCCGCATCATCGCATCTTTGATGTCCAGACACATTGAACAGGTGGTGATCAGGGAGCAGTTGACCCTGCATCACGGCTCGCGCCTGTGTCAGCCTCCCCCGCTCTGTCTGAGCCTGTGGGGCCCCATCCCATGTGCGCGGGTCCCACGCATCGCATTCTGGCCCCTCTGGCTCATTGCCCTCCGCCGGGCCCTTCCCAGGCACTATAGATGGCTTCCCTGCCGATCTCTCAGCACAGCTGATGGTGAAATCCAGTTCTCCTGGAGGAAGAGGTTGGGAATGGAATTGCCAATTTAAACAAACACAGGTGATGCACTTATACAGAGCAGCTCTGACATCTTAGGCCAGTTTTTCCTGCATTTGCCATGAGCAAATTGCTGGTATTGCTGTAAGCATGCATGTGCAGGCATGTCTTTGGCAGTTTTGTACCTACTTCCTTCATCCATCCTCAGCATTTCCGGGGGAGAACTCCCTCCAGGAGCCCCATCAAGCCTCTCCTCTTTGATAAGAGCGGATGATGCTCTTCTCTCCTCCATGTGAGGCAGCTGGAACAGAAAAACTTGGAAGTTATGATCAGGGAAGCACACTGCTTCAGTATCAATAAGAAAAAAACTTAATAAGTATGACATTAACCCAATCAAACATAATTCAACAGCCATGGAATCACTTGGGTTTTAATGAACGACGACACTTTATTTATTTATTTTTTTAAAATATTGACTGAAACGCACAGCTACACTGTGTGCAAACCCATTTAGTTTGATTTTGGGTGACAGTATGTGTATGGAAGTTGGATCAACCACACATTTATGCAACATCACAGAAGAAAAAAAAAAGAAAATTACCTGATTTCTTGGTGAGAAATTGTATAAATATTGCAACATTTTTCAACAGATAAGCATTTGTATTGCACATTATTAACTACACCAGCAAAGTTAGAGAATCATGATAAGGATTCTGGAAACTGGTGGAGTCCTAGTTTTACTATAAAAGATTGCAGGTATCAAGCGAGCAGATGATCACCAGCAGTAACACTAACCAGTGAGACATTTAAAATCAAACAACAGTTAGGCACAAGAAAATCATTTTTATTACATATCAACAAATGTAAATACAGCATTTTTGAAACATTACAATTATTTTAGCAATACAAGGACATCAGACTAATAGGATTTATTTTTCCAGGACATGCACCAATGGGCTTTGATTACATATTTACATGGGATTACTTCAAACACTGGCTCAACTGAGAGTTTTTCAACTAGATTAAATCTGTAAATCAGTATCACTTGGTTGTAGAAGAACCAAGTGACCACCATGGAAAATGTGAAGACTTAGTGCTTTTATGACATTTAAGCATACCAGCAAGATTTCCTAAAACAGAAAAATACCTAAGGTTACTAGAGACTTGATAATATTACAAAAGCATCGATACGATACATCAGATGAAACTTGAAGTGCAAGTTAATTAATGCTGCAACACAAGTCAACAGTCAATGCGATTAAAATGGAAATATGAAAAATACCTCTTTTTGTAAGAGCCACCTGGATCAGCTTGCAATCATATCACAGCTCCCAAAAACTTTCCTTTGCAAACTGAGCATATGCATCACTGCAAGTCCGAAGTGTTGGTGTAGGGGAAACACTTCTATGCATCAGGATAGGAAAATGAGTCTAATGTTACATTCTTGTAAATTAGTAAATGTAATTCCTAATTCAATACGTTGCTCGTTTCTCCAAAATAAGTGAAAAACAAATCTCCCCTCTTATTTAACACTGTAAACCATCATGTGGTTTTTCTGTTGGTGTACTTTAAGGTAACTTTTCTCTCCAAATCTTTTACCACACTGCATGCAAATAAAGGGTCTCTCTCCAGTGTGGACCCGCTGGTGCATTTTCAGCTGGTGCAGATGAGAGAAGCGCTTGTCACACTGCAAGCAACTGAATGGCTTCTCTCCTGTATGAACTCTCTGGTGTCTTTTCAGGTTCCCTGACTGCGCAAATCGCTTTCGGCACTGTGTGCAGCTGAACGGTTTCTCGCCAGTGTGAACCCTTTGGTGAATCTCAACCTTCTTGGGGCAGCTGAAACCCTTCCCACAAAAGGCACATAAGAAGCGCCTCTCTCTGGAACTAGCTTTGCACTGGTTTTCACTTCTTGAAGTAGCAGAACTCACAGGAATACATCGATCTGACACTGCGTGTTTTGAGACCACTAGGCTCTCTTTACATATCATTTGAGGATTTGGTGGTGAGATATTACAACTTTCCTTCCATACCTCCATTCTCTCCCTGTCATCTCTATGCTGCCTGCGATGTACCACTGTTTCTCTGTCCCATAAATGCAAGTGAAGTTCTTCTTTAATCTGCAGAGACTCAACTTCACTGCCCGATTTCCATCCAGGAGATTTTAAACATGGTCGATGCTCACTGACACTGGCCTCTGTAACAGCAGCAGGCTGCAGCTCGGACTCAGACGGGCTTTTCAAATCAGTTTCTGTGACAAACAAATCAGCTGGATGACCTGCCTCGATTTCTCTGTGGACATAACAAGCCTTTAAGTGCCCGGCTCTCTGACACACCGTGAACTCGCAGGCCAGGCTGCTCACACCCTCCGCCCTGCACTCGGTTCCTGTAAGCAGGGGCCTCTGCTTTACACTCTCCTTCTCAGGCTCTGCCTTCAGGACAGTCTCCAATCCACTGACCTCCCAAGCACCGTGACTGCTCCTGTGCTCATCGGCAAGCTCCTCTGTGCTTTTACCGGGCGAAGTCTCTTCATCCAAAGTGGCTCTCCTTTCTCCAGCATCAGCTCCCAAATCCAAGCATTCTTAAGACAAAAAAAAAACATTTAAGAGAGGAAGCTTGCAGCTGATTTACAGTAATTCAATAGTAATCAATTTAAACATGCACACTGATATAACAGAGTTCATTATTCTTAGGGTGCATACATGAGGTAACATACCACAAATACTTTGATCAAATCGACTTACGCTCCGCAGTGATCACCATGCCCTCCTTTGGACTGTGGCTTCCAAAGTCTTCTTCTTCAGAGGTCTCCTCTTTAATCAGGCCAGGCTCAGGAATAACCTCAACAGAGTCTGCTGGCTGATAAAGTTATTGTAATGAGCTCCAGTTGCCTTTAAACGTTTAAAGAAGTTTCTCAATTTTAGTAATGTATATATAATGCAATAAAATTCTTGCTTGTGTGCTTCCTTCATACTATAATGTCAATAAAATGCCTTATTCAGTTACGGTATTTATTAAAATGGCAGACAGACTTAAACCATTTTAAAATTCACCAGTGAAAACAAAAAGCAGATAGACACAAACTGACCACATCCCTTCCTACAGCTGACTGCATTGAAGAATCTTGACTGAGGTCCATGTGACTGCTGAAAACACTTTCTTCAGGTAAAAAGTTGCCCTTCTCTGGAAAAAAAAAAAAAGTTAGTGTGTGATATCCCTCTTTCACACACACCAGAAGAAAAGTTTCTCATCTTTAAAACTTTCTCTTTGACATTCAAAGGCAGAACACGATGCTTCCCAGCACTTAATTTGACACAGAAATTAAGCTTTACTCAGCACGTTTCCCTTTGCAGGTGCAATCGTGCAGAGTGACCTGCACGCTCCAGCTGCGCGTGGACACGGCGCGGGACCCCGGCTCACCTCGCGGGGCTTGTCGCCGCGCACCACAACCTCGCGCGACCTGCAACTCCAGATTCTCCAACTTCCTCCTCAGCTGCTCGTTCTCCTTCTGGCTTTGGGACATTTCCATGCGTAATAGCGCGTATCCGTCGTCCATCAGCTTGCAGATCTCTGCCACGGCTGCGTTAGCTAACACCTCCATGATGGAGGCTACTTGTGTGTGGAAAGCAACACAACTTGACATTTTAACTACTCGGACAACGAATCTCTTTATAACGATCTATTAGAGGTGCGTTATAATTGTGTTACCCTATAATTACAAGCGGCTTATTTAATCAAATAAAATAAATAAATAATTTGTGAATGCCGTTACCTACTACATTTGCAAGCTATCGTAAAACGCAGCGGTGTCTTTCCGGCCTGTACTTCCGGGTTCGCGAAGCCAGGCGGAAGTGCGTAGCCGGTGCCGCACGGGGTTCCGGTCTCGTGGTCATAAATATCTACTTGTGTTTTTGTATAAAGGTCGCACTAATTACACATTTCATTGTTTTTTCCCCCTTTGGAGAAAAGGAAACGTCTAACTATGAGACGTAATTACTAGAAACCAGAAAACGAATAGAAATGAAACCTTTTGTCAAACGGAGAATACCGTGAGTTTTCAATAACGAGAAGTTTCCTGAGCCAACTTCTTTTTATAGCAAAAACATGAAAAATGTATTCGTATTCTCAGTCATAACCTTTATTGTCAGAGAACATATCCTGTAATAGTAAATACTCATAATAAGGATCATACACAGTCATAAACATTACACAGTAATGCTAATTAACGTTATATGGTCACCTGTTTGACGACGGTATTATACAATACCCCCAACTCCTATTCGCGGTTACACATTAGAGAAGTCTAAATATCCATTAATCAGGTCCTTAAATAACACTTATACTGTGCATGAAATTGTACTTTCTTAAGCAAGTTATCCATGAAGTAAATACTGTCTACTAGCAATAATGAAAAATACTTTAACTGTGTAACATTACTCAATTTATATACACATATAATATGTAATTGATAAAAAAAAAGTAAAAAATAATCGAGGTAGTTTTAATATTCAGTAGCCGTTAAGTGTAAACCATATTAAAATAATGGAGACTAAGCATTTGGATTGGGCATTCTCCAAACCTTCTGCCAATAGCATACCATATGCCTTATATCCTTGGCAAATGTGCATGTGTGTGTGTATATATATATATATAAAATGATTGTTCCAATTTGAAAATCTGTTACTTTCCAATATGGACGTTCTGGTGTCTTATAAGATTACCCAAGATGGAAAATGTTTTCCCACAACGTGTACAACTAAATGGCCTTTCACCTGTGTGAACAATTTGATGTACTTTAAGGCTGCAAGACTGAGAAAACCTTTTTCCACAAAGTGTACAACTGAAGCGCTTCTCCCCCGTGTGGACACTCTGATGCCGTTTTATATGACTTGACTGAGAAAAGCGTTTCCCGCACTGAGCACAACTGAACGGCTTTTCACCTGTATGGACTCGCTGATGTGTTTTAAGTTGGTGAAGGTAGGAAAATCGCTTCTCGCACTGGCTACAGCTAAATGGCTTCTCACCAGTGTGAACTCGCTGATGTCCTTTCAGATCTCGTATATGAAGAAAGCGCTTTCCACACTGTACACAACTAAATGGTTTTTCTGTTGTGTGAGGTGACTGGTATGTTTCTAAATCTTTTGATTGGCTGAAATTATTCTCATAATATGTGCATGAAAACCGCTTTTCTTTTCTGCCAACCCTAAAGTCTGTCTTTCCAGTTTTAGGAGTGACATTTTTTTTCATACATGAGGGTTTGGATTGTAACTCTGCCGTTTTTTCGCTGACTGCGATTTGGGCTTGCGGAGTACACATGCCGGTTACATTTTCTACTGAAGCGTCCTGTCTCTCCGCATTACACTGTTGAGGATGAACTCTTCCTATGACAGTTTCTTCGTTCCACAGAGAATGTATCTGAAAATCTATTTTAACATGTCCGGGGTCAATTGATGTAATTGCAGAGTTCCAGTCAATTGGACCCAAGAAGGACAAAGTGGGATCTGAAAAACCAGCCGAACCATAAGCAGCCTGCGGCTCAGTGGCACCTGAGAATGTTTTGGAATCTCCTTCTGAAGTGAAAGAGCAAGATGATTCAGCCTGTGCCCCATTGTCCTCTGGGGAGTGTAAATGCCCAGGCTGACTGTGTGTGTTATCTAGCATATACACACGGTCTTGTATGCAGTCCAGTGTGCTGCACCTTTCCACCCCATCATTAGCTCTTGGTTGTTGGAATCTGTGCTTAATACCATCGTTATTTTTTTTGCTGCCACCTTCCAATGCTCCGAGCTCCCAGTCGCTGTGCATGGGCTGCTGTTCACGAGGATCCTCCATGTCTCCCTCAGAAATTACATCTCTTTTCCCAACAGATCCTTGTTCACAGTTACTAATCAATTCCTCATGTCCTATGAAAAGGAAGCAGAAAGATACAGTGAGAACAATTCACTACAAAAGACCAAATGCTTGTATTACTGCTACTTACTTTGACCAGAGATCACCAGCCCTTGGGAATGAATGCTTCCAAAATCCTCTTCAGTTCTCTCCTCTTTGATATTTATTTGTGTGGGACTTTCTCTAACCTCTTTTGGACACTTCAAAAGGGAACATTAATAAAACACATTTAAAAGATTCACCCCCCAGAAAATAGGAAATAATTACACTTACAATTACAAAGTCTTGGGACGCTTGCTTAATTCTGTAAAAATGTTGCAAATTTATTGGTTTCATAACAAAAGTCCACTGATAAGCAATGTCTAACATACATCCTCGTAAAAAATTAAGAGACCACTCCATATTGGAGTGGAGGTGTCCTGGGGGATCTCCTCCCAAATCTGGACCAGGGCATCACTGAGTTCCTGGACAGTCTGAGATGCAACTTGGTGGTGTCGGATGGACCGAAACATAATGATCCAGAGGTGTTCTATTGGATTTAGATCAGGCAAGTGTGGTATCAATTCCTTCTTCTTCCAGGAACTGCCTGCATACTCTCGCCACAAGGCCGGGCATTGTCGTGCACCAGGAGGAACCCAGGACCCACTGCACCAGTGTAGGGTCTGACAATGGGTCCAAGGATTTCATCCCAATACCTAATGGCAGTCAAGGTGCCGTTGTCTAGCCTGTAGAGATCTGTGCGTCCCTCCATGGACATGCCTCCCCAGACCATCAGGCCACCCTCATGAAGTCTGTTTCTGATTGTTTGGTCAGAGACATTCACACCAGTGGCCCGCCCGAGGTCATGTTGTAGGGCTCTGGCAGTGCTCATCCTGTTCCTTCTTGCACAAAGGAGCAGATACCAGTCCTGCTGATGGGTTAAGGACCTTCTATGGCCCTGTCCAGCTCTCCGAGAGTTACTGCCTGTCTCATGGAATCTCCTCCATGACCTTGAGACTGTGCTGGGAAACACAGCAAACCTTCTGGCAATGGCACGTATTGATGCACCATCCTGGAGGAGTTGGACTACCTGTGCAACCTCTGTAGGGTGCAGGTATCACCTCATGCTACCAGTGACACTGATCATAGCCAAATCCAGAACTAGTGAAAAAACAGTCAGAAAAGATGAGGAGGGAAAAATGTCAGTGGTCTGCACCTGTTAAACCATTCCTGTTTTAGGGGTCATCTCATTGTTGTCCCTCTGGTGCACCTGTTGTTAATTTTATTAACACCAAAGTAGCTGAAACTGATTAACAACCCCCATCTGCTACTTAACTGATCAGATGAATATCCAAGAAGTTTAACTGACTTGATGCTATATTCTGATTAAAAAGTGTTCCTTTAATGTATTTCAGCAGTGTGTATAAAATTCACAGTTGCACATCCATACATTGAGAAAAGAGTGAAACTAAAATTTTTGCTGTGGTCTCAATTTTTTCCATGACTGTATCTACTCATATCTTCCACACAGATATAATTCCCATGGAAAGATTCCAAATTCGAATATTTCCAAAATCCCCAAATTTTCCAAAATTCTGAAAATTTTCCAGCCCTTTGCAACCCTACCACCATTCACACCTACAGGCAATATGATAACTCAGATTATATTTTTGGACTGTGGGGTGAAACCCCACGAGGACATGGGGAGAACACACACACACACAGAGCTATGGAGGAGACTTGAATCTAGGCCCAGGAATGTGAGGCAACAGTACTAACCACTATAGGCAATTTAGAGTCAGGAATTGGCATAAATGCATATTTTGTGTTGTGGGAGGTAACTCATACGACAGGGGGAGAGCATGCAAACTTAACACACGCAGGAGGTGGAGTTTGAACCTACAACCCTGGAACCATGAGGTAACTATGATATCTGTGGTGTTGGCCAGTGTTGCTATGATGCCAGACAAAAAAAACACTCCTAAATCAGTGCATAAGTGCACAGTAGTGTAAAAAAGATAACTCATTTTATGGTTTAAGTTTGTAAACACCAAAACATCTAATAAAATCCCATAATCCTAGGCACCTGACGGAAATCGAATGGTACTTTCATATCAGTGATGTCAATATTTTAAGTAGTATATGTAAACTATAGATACATAGCAGCAGCTCATGGTGCCCACACTATCAGCTCGTTTTCATCCTCCGGGTGTCCCATTGTGCTGCCTGGGAAAGGGAAGGGCGATCCTACGTTTGATGAACTGATTCTTATGAAGGATGGACGGACAAACAGACCTCGTCCTGTATGGTGTCCGGCGGCACTGAAGCGTCTTCCCCGTCCAGCCTTCCGTCCGTTTGCAGACTGCTGTGTGTAACTTGCGCTTCATTTGAAAAACAGTCTATATGCGAAACACAAAAACGGAACATCTGTTTGTTAGCAAATAACTCGGTCTCGTCTGTAAATGCACGGACACCTGCCTGTGAAGGTACTGCATCCTGCAGGGATGTATGTATTGCAGCGGTGCATCTTGCCTTTGTTGCTGCCGTGCATACGGGGGGCTCCCGCACCGCCGTCCGCCTCAACGGCCCTTTGCGCCGTCAGCTGGGCGATGTGCAGCTCCAGCGTTTGCATTTTGCTCCTGAGGACGGCGTTCTCCTTCTGGCTGCGTGTTATTTCCAGGCGCAGGGTAACGCAGCTCTCCTCGACTACTTTGTAGATGTCAGCCACGGCGGCGCTGGCCAACGCCTCCATGACGGAGGCCAGCTGTGCGCGGATTGCGGCGGGGCTCGGCGTGGCGTACAGCATACCTGACCGTTCGCAACGACTGCCCAATCGCCAAGAAGAATATTTATAATTACAGGGCAAATGATTTATCCGGAATAAGCTAAAAGACTTTACATTAGCCCCTACAACGTAACAGACCAGCAAGCTACTAGAATACGACTATGGCTTACAGCCAGACATCTGACAGGGAGGTTAACATGCTACCGTAAATACAGGAAATTAAGCGCAAATAAAATGGGTCCGTTACCACATTCACTACCAATTTGCTCGCTAAATTATACCACATATATATGTTGCAGGTTTAAATGCTTTTAATTATTAAATAACACACAATATTCTCATTAGTATGTATACACATTTTTTAAACAAATATAAGTGTACGAGTAGTCAATAAAACACATACGTAACCACAAAAACAGTGAGAAACACACACACACACACACACACACACACACACACACCAATCCATCTTCCAAATGCTTGAGTAGGATTTCTTATATTCAATCAATCAAATAAATGACCTTTTCATAAAGACTGATGTGAACTAATTGTGACATACTTTACATGGATATATGTAATAACAAAGCATTTGCCAACAAAGCAATATTTTACAATAAATATGTCACTCTAGACTGGAACCTGTAAATCCGTTAATTTCTTATTAAAGATGCCCTCAGGTATAAAGAAATATTTTTAATAACTTTTAACAAATAGGCGGGTGATTATGACTCATAACTTGGCTTACACTAACAGGGTTAAAATGTTGCTCTCACTGACTGCTTACTTAATCACTACCTGTTTAAACATGTATAAAACATGAACTTACACTTGTAATAATGGTACTTATTCAATGAATTATAAAACAAACAAAACAGAATGTGGTTGAATTTCACAATTTTTTTTATCGGCATGACAACTAAAATGCAGTGTCTAAAATACTGTGCTGTTGTTTTTTCACTAACAGTTTAATCCAGGGTAATTAATTCAATTTTCATTTGGAACCAAGGTTACCACCTTCCTTGCGACTGGAAGACAGACAGACAGATGGATGGATGGATGGACAGAAGGTTGGCATACATGGCGGCGTGTCAGGCTAGAAGGCGGAGCTCTGTCTTAAGTGACGTTGCCCTACAACTACACTGGCACAATTTCTGAGGCCATCTTTGCTGAGCAATCCCTTTTTATAGTTATGCTAAAGAGAGAATTTTTCATACACATTTTAAGAATTACGCACCACACTCAGCAAGTGCGATTAAAAAGAGCAAATTAAACCAGAACATATCCCATGCTCTCTTCTATCTCAGAGAGTTTAATGGGAGAAACATAGCCAACTGAAATCTATGCAGTACATTCACTATATGTTGTATGAAACTAACAAGGCATCCCTATGATGCAAATTTAAGTGATTTTTCTCCAGTATGAACACTCTGGTGTCTTTTAAGATGATTGGAGCGAGTAAAGCTTTTGCCACACTGTGTGCAGCTGAACGGCTTCTCGCCAGTGTGGATTCGCTGGTGTACATTAAGGTAACCTGACTGCCCGAAACACTTCCCACAGTGCTGGCACCGGAAGGGCTTCTCGCCGGTGTGAACCCTCTGGTGCACTTTCAGATAACTCGGCTGCCGGAAGCGCTTATCACAGAGCAGGCAGCTGAAGGGCTTCTCACCGGTGTGACGCCTCTCATGCATTTCCAACTTATTGTGAAAACTGAATCCCATACCACAGTATTTACAGAAGAACCTTTTCTCCCTCAAGTTAACTCCATAATGGGGCTTCATGTTTTCTGACAGTGTATCGAAAGGATTAACATCACTGCCATTGTCATCAGTCTGAAGTCCATTATGTTTCGTAACTTTTCCTCTGGTGGTCCTTCTGTTCACCTCAGAGCTCATCTCACAGTCCCTCACTGGTACCGAGTCACTCAGTACAGTTGGCTTCCCCTGGGATGACTTGAAAGAAGAGACATCGTCTCCTACGTCTTGCGGAGTGATGGAAACTGGCAGCAGCTTTGAGTGGAATGACAGCTTCTCTGATCCAGCATCAGTAACAAATGAGCAAAATGGATCAGCAACATCTAGATCAGTTTTTTCTTGCAACACAAACTTCCGCTGATGTAATTTCTCATGCATCAAATAATCAGGGTCAAAGCTGTCTATGCCTCCTACACTTTGTTCACATCCATGATGTTCAAACCCCTGGTTCAAAGCCTCCATTTCCGGATCTTCCTTAAGGATAACCTCTGATCCAGCGCAGTCGTGAAACGTGTGCTGGCTCCTGTTCTGTTTATTTTTTGAAAGTGTAAATCCATCTACAGAATCTGTCCCTGACTTTATATGACCTGGAGGGAAGAAAAAAATCAACAAATATCATCAGCTGCCCAGCCTGCAGAACATACACTCACCTAAAGGATTATTAGGAACACCATACTAATACGGTGTTTGACCCCCTTTCGCCTTCAGAACTGCCTTAATTCTACGTGGCATTGATTCAACAAGGTGCTGAAAGCATTCTTTAGAAATGTTGGCCCATATTGATAGGATAGCATCTTGCAGTTGATGGAGATTTGTGGGATGCACATCCAGGGCACGAAGCTCCCGTTCCACCACATCCCAAAGATGCTCTATTGGGTTGAGATCTGGTGACTGCGGGGGCCATTTTAGTACAGTGAACTCATTGTCATGTTCAAGAAACCAATTTGAAATGATTCGAGCTTTGTGACATGGTGCATTATCCTGCTGGAAGTAGCCATCAGAGTATGGGTACATGGTGGTCATAATGGGATGGACATGGTCAGAAACAATGCCCAGGTAGGCCGTGGCATTTAAACGATGCCCAATTGGCACTAAGGGGCCTAAAGTGTGCCAAGAAAACATCCCCCACACCATTACACCACCACCACCAGCCTGCACAGTGGTAACAAGGCATGATGGATCCATGTTCTCATTCTGTTTATGCCAAATTCTGACTCTACCATTTGAATGTCTCAACAGAAATCGAGACTCATCAGACCAGGCAACATTTTTCCAGTCTTCAACTGTCCAATTTTGGTGAGCTCGTGCAAATTGTAGCCTCTTTTTCCTATTTGTAGTGGAGATGAGTGGTACCCGGTGGGGTCTTCTGCTGTTGTAGCCCATCCGCCTCAAGGTTGTGCGTGTTGTGGCTTCACAAATGCTTTGCTGCATACCTCGGTTGTAACGAGTGGTTATTTCAGTCAAAGTTGCTCTTCTATCAGCTTGAATCAGTCGGCCCATTCCCCTCTGACCTCTAGCATCAACAAGGCATTTTCGCCCACAGGACTGCCGCATACTGGATGTTTTTCCCTTTGCACACCATTCTTTGTAAACCCTAGAAATGGTTGTGCGTGAAAATCCCAGTAACTGAGCAGATTGTGAAATACTCAGACCGGCCTGTCTGGCACCAACAACCATGCCACGCTCAAAATTGCTTAAATCACCTTTCTTTCCCATTCTGACATTCAGTTTGGAGTTCAGGAGATTGTCTTGACAAGGACCACACCCCTAAATGCATTGAAGCAACTGCCATGTGATTGGTTGATTAGATAATTGCATTAATGAGAAATTGAACAGGTGTTCCTAATAATCCTTTAGGTGAGTGTACTTCCATTTATGAACCTTTGATAATATTGAAAGTAGCTGCATGACACACAGGCAGAATGACTATACACAGTACATACATGCGTGATACACATGCATGCTACACACATGTACTCTACACATTCATGCTACATATACATACATTACATACACACACTACATATACATGTACTCCACACATGCTACATACATGCATGCTACACACATGCATGCTAGACACACGCACTCTACAGATACACTGTGCACACACGCACTCTACATACACACACTCTACACATACGCATGCTACACACACACACACACTGTTCACACACACACACTACACACATACTGTGCACATATGCATGCTACACACATGCACTCTAAAAACACAAACTGTGAAAACACGCATGCAACACACATGCACTCTACACACATGCTACACACACGTGCTCTGCCATCATGCATTCTGCGTAAATGCGCTCTGCATACATGCACTCTGCATACCCTCCTTCCTGCTCTTCAGCCCTGTCTGAGCGTCGGCCGCGTCCCCCTCAGCTCCCTCTTCCTTGATCTGAAGTATCTTATGCTCCCCGACTTCCAGGTTTACTGACTGTGAAAGAGAATGAGGTGGACAACCTGCCTGAAAGCCTTGATTCATTCTCAAACTAGCAGAAAGAGCAACTGGTTTTTAATGAGGCTAGTGCTGATCTGATTCAAGAAAATAATAAAAGCTGGCAGGAATTAAGGTCGGACATTTCAGGCAGAATTGTTAAATAATTTTTTTTGCCAGTCATTGAATAACATTTGATTAACCCTGCTCCCATGACAGAGAAACACGTACAAAGTAAGGATCAAAAAATTATAATTTTTTCCATGCAAAACAAGATATTAAATGGTGCTGCAAAACGGTTAACATAAAATGAAAAAGCAGGTAGAATTAAATTGAAACTGAAATTAAATTAAAGAGATAGCTAAAGTTCAGTAGCATACAACAGCATTTAATAGCATGTGATTTGGACAGTTACGGTGAGTAGCGATGTCTTTAATGCATCACTCATGCTGCAAAACGATTGTCCCACAGTAAATAATACACACTGATGGAGAGATACCTGAAAGTGGACATAGTAGGACATAGTAGCGGGTGTATCGCTTAGTGTAACATGTGCAGGAGAATGGGCAGCGCTGCCAGTCGTGTAATGACCAACTATCCATATCTAACTTGTAATACAGTATGGATACAGTAATGTATATGCAATGAACAGGTAAAATACCGAGATGCACTCAAATTGACTTGCGTCCGGTTGGCCCGGTCCCAAACACGAACGGAAATTGACACAAGACTGTATATTGCAAAAAAAAAAAAAGAGTATCTAACATAGTTATAGCCAAAGAGAACTTATTATCTACCAATAGCCAGTCTTTACAGGGAAAGGCAAATAAGTAGTTCACATTCTGGTTAACTCATCAAAAAAGTCTCTACTGGTATACTGACTAGTCACTCATCACACCAGACATAGTTAGAGATGAATGGATAGGGGGGTGGAGTCTTTACTGTGGGGGCGATGGCAAACTATTCATGACTGAAGCCAATAAATACACATTTATTATAGGGGAGTAAAAAAAGTATTTTGGAGAAATTTATCCATGATTACTACACACACATGTCCTGTATAAATCGAACAAAAGTGGAGGATATACTTATTAAAATAGATGTAATACTATTACAATGGTTTATATACATACCACAGTGTGTACGTATGAAAAATGAAATAATTTAGCAGCATAAAACATAAAACAACCATGTGTAAATAGTAGCGTCCCGACAAAGTTTGCTAAGCTGACCTCCGTCAATATAAGTGGCTGCACTCGAACATCCTCCCCCGCTGTCATTACGGGATCTCCATTGACCTCCAGACCTGGGACATCTTCTGTAGATGGCTGTTGTTCTGAAAGCAGGTCAGCGAATGATTTAGGGTAGCGCAATGCATTACCGATTCGCTGACATCCGACAGCGCCGATCTTACCTCTATGACCATTTGCAGGCTCTCTGCCCCTCGGAGCTGCCTCAACTGCTTCCTCCAGAGCTCCCGGCGTCTTGCTGCGCTCCAGTGACGCCTGTATCTCCATCAGCCGCAGCTTCGTCCTCAGCTCCTCATTCTCCTTCTGGCTGCGTGATATTTCGAAGCGCAGCACCGTGTATCCATCGTCCACCAGCTTGCAGATCTCCGCCACGGCCGCGTTGGCTAGCTCCTCCATGATGGAGCCGAGCTGCGCGTAAAAACGGTCGCAGCCCGACATGGTGGCTGCGGGAACCCGAGCAGCGCGTCTCACCGTGTACACCCGCGACACTGTTTCTTCGGCTCAGGAATTTGAATAAAACCACTTTAAAGCGGCGCGTTCCTGCCCGAGTTGCGCCGTCTTCTTATTAAGTCTGTGTACAGATACATGCACCCAATACCGGCGTGAAGCCTGGGACGGATCGACCTACACGAACTACCGTAAATATCCGAAAACCAAGCGCATCCCTGCCATCGGACTTGGTGTATAGGGCTCATAGCTCATAAGATACTTATCCCTTATTCTTAGAATTTGGAGGTATTTTTCGTTGTATGCTTTATATTTTGACATTATACATGGTTTTACATTATACGTAACCCCTCCCCCCGTGATAGATTTGTGGAAGGACTACCTAATACTTATACGTAAAGTACAACAGTACAGCTATGTCAAGTGTGTTTTAGAAAAAATGAACTGAGTCGAATTAAAATTTGAGTTTACTATTTTAATCATTTTCGAAATTATGAGATCTATAACCAACACTATAAATGGCAGGTTAATAAGTGTGTGATAATAATAATAATGTAATTCAAGACTTCTACAAATGTTGGTGTGTGGCTCTGTAGATTAGGACTCAAAAGGTTGCTGGTTCAAATCTCATGGTCTTCAGAGTGATGTCACTGTTGGTACCTGAGCAAGACCCTCATCCCCAGTCATTTCAGGGACGCCGGCTGAGCCCACTCTCTGATCCTCACTTCTATATCAATTGGAACAAAAGTATAAATAAATTCTACTCTGCGTATCTATTTTATTAGAACAATTTAACTTCAGAATTTTGCTGACAAATACTGCAGTAAAACTGAATCTGCATCCTTCAGAGCTTCACTTCGTCTCAACCTGTCTCCACTACGAATGGCACATGCATCAGATGAATTTGCTTGAGGTGCTTTTTAAGGTAGCATAAACGAGTAAAGCACTTTCCACACTGCAGGCAGCTGAATGGTTTGTTTCCAGTGTGGACACTCTGGTGCCTCTTACAGGTGCTTGAATCAGAAAAGCTCTTCCCACACTGCAGGCAGCTGAATGGTTTTTCTCCAGTATGAACATTTTGGTGTTTTTTCAGATTGCTCGAACCAGCAAATTTCTTCCCGCAATGCAAACAGCTAAATGGTTTTTCACCTGTGTGAATTCTCAGGTGTGTCTTAAGGACATTTCTATAGGCAAAATCCTTTCCACAAAACATACACAGAAAGTGCCTCTTTTTCAAACTGCCTCTGCTGGACTTTCCAGCAATGCTTGATGGGGTGAAACTTTCGCTGGCAGTGTGGGATCCCTTCATTTGTGAGCACTTGATGAACTGGGGGCTTCCAGAGGCCAGATCTCCAGCTGCATGCCCTGCCCTCTCAGTCATGGCATTACTGGCCTGTTGCGTAGCAAAAGGTCCACAATGAAGGTTCCTGCCAATCAGTGGACGGCCAGAGCCCCCTCTGTTCAAAACCTCTGCTCTTTGCCGGGATGCTCTGTATAGGAGATTGTGACTTGCAGCCTGTCTCGCAGGCTCTGCTTTGAGCCCAACAGCGTCACGGTCACTGAGCCTGTTCCCAAAGTGACTGTTCGCACTGCAATCCCTTTCGTCGCCTTCCATTTCCAACAGTTTGAAACCTGGTGAATGTAAGTAGCTGTATAAATATTTGGAATTGCAAATTTCAAGCACATCAATTTAAAAGGCATTCATCATCAACAATCACTGCTTATGACACCAAGAGCAAATCTATCAAGAAATGTTTAAAAAAATGTCTAATAAAATGTCATCAGATTCAAGTGTTACTTGGACTTCTGTCCACAATTTTTACATTAATAAGAGCAGCATGTTTTTTTTACTGTACTTCTCCCAATAAGTTCCCCATATAATATGCTGGAAGACACTGCTTACATTATATCACCAAATATATATATATATATAACACACATATGTAGTGAGAGAGGAGTTATTGCCATTAAAATGGCCTTTTATTAATATTCTGGGTGGAAATTCCAGTAATATCAAAATTTGTTTAGGATAATAGGGTCTTTGCATACATGGTGAATTTCATAAATGTTTGTATTTTACATGCACACTTGTCCATCTTCTAGTTGTTCATTCAAACTGGGGGTGGGATTTATTACAATGGAATTCCAATTATATAATGTTCAGCTAAATGATGTTTGGATCTGGTCCTTCTCTGCTGTGAACATTCTGATGTAGTTTAAGATTGGCCATTCTTGTAAACTGCTTCCCACACAGTGAGCACCGAAATGGTTTCTCCCCTGTGTGAATTCTCTGATGCCGTTTAATATGACCCAGCTGTGAGAACTGTTTCCCGCACTGTGTGCAGCTGAAGGGTCGCTCCCCTGTGTGCACCCTCTCGTGCGCCTTGAGGTGGCATGACTGCATGAAGCGCTTCCCACACTGGGCGCAGCAAAACGGTCTCCTTCCCGTGCTACTCCGGGGTACTTCAGAGATTTCGGGAGAGCCGATAGCATGCTCACAGTTTGTGTGAAGGCACGGCCTCTGTGTGCAAGACCTGGGGAGAATCATAACATTTCTGGGCAGACTAAAGCTTCCATCGGATATATCTGAAGAATCAGCAGTGTTCGGCCTCATCGCAAGGTCGGCATGTGATGGGAACGACATGTCCGCCTTAATCCCCTCCAAATGGCTGCTTGTGTGCTCTGTGATAACAGAAATCACATGCAACTCAGAGCTGGATTCCTCTGTCCCACCTTGGGTGATGCCAGATGCTGTTTCACAGTTTCTTGTACAGTCCAGATAGTCCTCCTGGTCCCTGTGGGTGCTTCCTCCCCAGGGTGCATGACCTTCTCCTTGCCTCACGGGGGCAACACTGAGCACAGCCTCAGCTTTGAGATCGTCCTTAAAGGTGCACATGGCTCTTTGGCGCTGAGCTCGATCTTCTGCGTTTTCCACACATGCAAGATGAGTCTGTTTGAGTGTAGCTGTCGTCTTTTCAGCGTCAAGCTGCACGTCTCCTGGGCGTTAAACACTATGTAAGTATCGTGGTGACAATACAAGCCGCGCGGTGACACACTTACACCACGTGGCTAGTTAGCATTAGCTCACACAGGCTTTCCCCATTTGTCGTCGCGTAATGCGCCGTTACGTACGGGTGCCTGTCAGGGCTCAGAAGGCCGGCAAGCGTCCGACTGTACTTACTGTCCTGAGCGAGCCGCCCTGCTTCACCAAGTCCTGCGTCCCCCATGGCTTCAGCAGCTGCCTCCTTCTTAATCACCGGCAACCCAGGGCCACTCAGCTCCATGTGTGTGAGCTAAAAAGAGGGACAAAAATACTAACCATCACGGACGCAGCGTCATCCAGGCAGCCACAAGCACCACGACTGGAAAAAAATCAATCACCTTTATCAGAAGAAGCTTAAAATTAACGCTAAGATAAAATTACTACATTATGTCTCATTAACAGAATGCATAATGTTAATCACAATGGCTTTAGTGTGGAATCCATGGACTGCTGTATGAAAACATCTTCCTTCACTGGACCAAAACTAAAAGTGATCATTCAGAATTAGGTAGCAGTTCTGTAGAAAATCATGAAAATCCCCAATAAATTTACTGTTAATCAAATGCACAGAACATGGCAGAAGACGACTGTATATATTATAAAAAGAAAGCAAAAACGCTGGGTTGGTTATGTATGACCGACTTATCACTACTTTGCTTCCATTAAGCGCCCATACAGAGAGCTGTGGGAACTGCACTCTTATGAAACCAAATATCCTGGCAGGTGACACATTTAAACAGATTTATTTAACTATTCACATAATAAATGCATGCAGACTATGCATAGAAAAACACACTTTAACATTATGTGATTTACAATCAAAACATTTAGAGAGACAAAAACTCACACAGTACAGTTGAGATTTTAACTGAAGCATTAACACGTAGTATGACTTTAAAGCGTGTAATCTCTGTGGTAATGTTTCTGGTGTCTTTTAAGGTTGCTTGGGTGAGAGAAGCTCCGCCCACAGAGCAAGCAGCCAAATGGCTTCTCTCCTGTATGGACATACTGATGAACCTTAAGCTGACTCGGACAAACAAAACACTTCCCACACAACAAGCACGCAAAGGGTCTCTCTCTCTTGTGAGTACTCTGATGTTTCTTAAGCTTCATCGAAGACATGAAACTCTTGCCACACTGGGTACAGCTGGATGGTCCCTCTCTTGCGTGCGAACCCGCCTGCACGTTTAAAGCAGAGCAATGAGTGAACAATTTCCCATAATTCCTGCTGGAAAAAGACTTTTCTCCTTTATGAGCTCTGTCACCTCTTTCAAGATGTCCTTGACATTTGAAATCTTTCCAACAAAATTTGCTACCGAGTCTTTTCTTTCCTGTGCTAAATTTGTGGTGGCCATTAAATCGTTGCAATATGGGAAGGTGTCTCTGGTCTGGGCCGGGGTCCCCCAGCAGGACTCCCTCCCTATCCTTGCTTTCATCGTCTCTCCTTTGTGGGGCATATTGGGAATCGCCCAAACTCTCATCTTCCTTTTTAATAAGTGCCAAGTCAGTCTTTACAGCTTCTGGAGTGAACTCTGGAGCACTTAGAGGGGACAGGCTACTGGCACCACTGGTCTCTATAGGAGGAACAGTCTGTGTCGACAGGCTCTCCGAGTCCATGTCTGCAGCATTAGAGCCGTCGCCAGGCTCAGGGCCAGAGCTCCCGGGGGTGAAGCAGCTCCCCAGGTGCCCGGCTCTCTGACACACCGTGAACTCGCAGGCCAGGCCGCTCACACCCTCACCCCAGCTCAAATGCTGGAGTGTCTGGTCCATGAGGCCAGCCTCCAGTCCACTGACCTCCATGGCTCCGGTCCCATCCAGGTCTCCGAACACTTCTGTGCCCCGCGTGGTGGAGGCACAGCTGTCTAAATCGGTGAGTGATTCACCAACATCCGTTTCTGGTCCCTCCATGCCTAGGGGACAGACACAAATAAAACATGGACTGTAACACGAGTCTCACCAACACACTATCAAGTAAGGAAAGTAAAGTGATAAGATTATATATTAGCAATTATATATAAAATCCAAACTGAAGCCATATACAGTTAAACATAGAATTATTCATGCAACCAAGACCAAAAATCAGCCCTGGTGCCAGGGTGGGACAAGGAGATCTGGCGGTGGGGGTGGGGCAATTAAATAAAGACATATTCAGAAGAAACAGGATGTTTTTGCCTTTCGTCAGCAGTTTTTTGTGCATCAGTAAAACAGAGGCAGAAACAGGAATAACATGTAGACATATAACAGGCAGACAACCAGGGATACAAGCAGCATTGGGGAATGTGCAGGGCAGCACATATTCTTAGCTGGGTCCTGAATGAAAGTGGTGGAAGGCAGGATGATACACAGTAAGCTAAACAATACTAACAGAAATTACTTTGGCCACAAATATTTATGGATTTTGGCAAGTCCTCTTCCAGCATCTCCTTTTTGATTTTGGACAAGTCTGATGTGTCTTCCTGTACGACAAGAAAGAGCAACTGGTTAGTTTTAGCTCTGCATTTAATACACTTTCTTAAAAAGTATGTACAGATATCTGAGTAGCAATACTACTTATGAATAGGGTCGCAAAAGGGCGGAAATTTTCCAGTAAATTTCCATGGGAAGTAGGGTTACAAAAGGGCGGAAAATTTTTTGGAAACCTTCCAGAAACTTTCCACAGGAAGTTAAGCTGGGGAATTTTGGAAAGACTGAACTCTGTGGATCTCCATGCGAGCTGTCAGATAAGGCAAAGAAAGCAAACTATATGAATAATACAACATAGAATATGACTTATAAGCAGTGTGTTTTGATGCAGACACTGGTATTTTGCACACATAATTTCTCACAAGCATTTGGCTACACAATAATATCCCTATTAGTCAACATGTTTTTTTCAGTTACATTGAAGTTCCCTGTTATAGGCTAATGTCTAATGTTGCTCATTTCCAATTAATTCCCATATATTCCCATGGAAACTTTACAATTTCCCGGAATTTTGCAACCCTAGTTATGAATGGTGATACACAGTCAATGCGACTGCACTGACCTGGTCTACGATGAGGATGGGCCGGAGAGGGCTCGTCCCGGCCCCGTCGGCAGCCTGCGGATCTTCCCTGAAGCTAAAATCCAGTTGTTCCCTTAATACCGCCTCTTCGTCTACGTCCAAATGAAGAAAACCGAAGTGACAATTAGTGTCATTTCATTATCAGCTGTCAGCCACCATAGCGCTGGGTTCAAATACATAACGAATTTATTTAAATACTCCTAGTGCGAATAGTATTATTTATTATTAATATTATCATTATTGTGAGCCGATCACTGGCGCATCTTAGCCGCCGCCGACCTGCCGGGGTCGGGTCCACTCCGCTTGCCGCCCCGCAGCCAGCCATTTGCAGCCGCCTCCTCAGCTCCCGGTTCTCCGTCTTACACCGGCACATCTCCAGGCGTAACTCCGCGTAACCATCGTCCACTAGCCGGCAGATCTCCGCCACGGCCGCGTTGGCCAGCACCTCCATGATGGAAGCAAGCTGCGTGTGAAAGGCGCTGCGGCTCGACATCGTTACAGGCAGCTCAACGTCGCTTCCAAACGCTGCGAGGAAATGGTTATATGATATTAAATTATGGACAAAAACAAACACGATTCACTTAGCCGTCATCGCACATACTCGCTTTCGCTTCTTCCTGCTCTTAAAACAGCGAAACCGGAGTGCTGGCGCCACCTGTCTCCGCGGAGGTCAGAAGCCATCTTCCGCATGAAGAGCTTTTTCTACCGGGTACCGCAAGATAGACGGGAGGATCTATGGGTGAAGATGTTATTAAAGCGAACCCAAACTGTCTTCCGAAATATCTTGTTTTTTCAAACAAGGGAAATAGAAGTTATGCTTTTTCCATTTAATACGTTTACATTAACAATAATTTAAAATAAAATGGTGCAGGGTATACTGTGTAGTGAAATTCTTTTTAAAAAATACATTAAGTCAGGTTAAAAGTCCTTATTCTTTTCTGTAAGCATAAGTTTGAGAAGATTTAAACCAAACACACACTTTGCATCCACGGAATAAAATCCAAATACAGCAAGACATACTCTACAAATGATAAAAGACAAGAAGATTCCACTGGAAAGTGTGGTGTTCTGCTACATTGGTTCTGGACACTGTTGACAAGGTGGTCCGTGACTCAGGGCAGCAGCATGCAATCTGTCAGTGCTGGTCTGTACTGTGTGCTCACTACAGCAATCTGCAGTATCAGACCTATGGTATTCATCAGTACCTTAAGTTATGAAAATTCAGTCTTAACCATCCATCCATCCATCCAGAGGTATTCATTGCATGCTCCTGACCTCTCTCCATTCATTCAACTCAGGCCACATAACAGGTCACACAATATTCTTGTTGGTTTGTTTTACATTTAATGGCACCCAATTTAAAACAAGTTCAGCCCTAATAAATTAGTCAATCAGACCGTGTCTGTGGCCAGGATAATTGGCTGAAAGATGGACAGACAATCGGGAAACAAGGATCCCAGCTGCACATCATTTATACAAGTAGGCTGCATGTCAAAGACAAATGCATTTACATTTTGATTCAAAGATTCAGAAATTCTAAATCAGCTGGTAATTCAAATGTGAGGTTTACTTACGTTGCAGAAATCACATAGCTGGTCCATACAGTTGACCTCTAACATGAGCATCTTCTTAAATAAGAAATCACACCTATCTCTGCTGTGCGTTCACAAACATTCCCAGACACAAGAAATACAGAAACAGCCATGTATGACACAATTGGATTTTATTTCTCAAATTATAGATTGCAAAACCACACAAATATCTCAGAACTTTGATTTCAAGGCTAAGGTTTTACCAACAATTGAAAAAAATAGGATACAAAGAAACAGGCATGGTGACAACTGGCCAGACTGATCATATAGAAAATAAGATTATAATACATATCTTCCTGAGACCCAGCCATTAATTTATGTCCTCTGCAGAGAAGACTGTTTTTGCTCATCTATCATATTCTCCTGGCCACTCTATGAAATCCTGTTGTTCCTTAAAGAGGATATGTAGGGGTTTAAGATGACATCACTTTTGTGAGGGTGTGACCTCGCCAACTGCCTCTACCTGTTAAATCAAAATGATCATTTTTAATAAAAACATTGCCCCCCCCCCGGGACTCAGGACGCAGGCTTCCTGCTAATGTTTTTATGGCTGATATTGAACTAAGCCTCGTCTAAAAACTGCATTTGGATTTTTGACACAAGTTACCTATCTGTGTGAACATACCAATGGTAATGAGACTGCCAATTACAAGTGCTCTCCACATGTAATGAAGCTTTAAAGTTTCTGCCCCATATGAACACTCATGTGTTTCTTAATATGACTCGACTGCGTAAAGCGCTTTCCACAATGTACACAGTTAAAGGGTCTCTCTCCAGTGTGGACCCGCTGGTGCATTTTCAGCTGATGCTGGTGAGAGAAGCGCTTATCACACTGCGTACAGCTGTAGGGTTTTTCCCCGGTGTGCACTCGCTGGTGTCTTTTCAGATGGGCAGAATGAGTGAATCGTTTCCCACACTGTGCACAAACAAAAGGCTTCTCTCCTGTGCGACTTCTCCGAACTTCAGTCTCTTTCGAAACACAGAAGCTGTTTCGAAAAAAGGTAGTAAAAAATGGTTCATCTCTTGTGTCCTCTCTGGAGTGAGATTCAGTGCTTTCAGAGATGGTAAAACCTCTCTGATTCGACACAAATTCAGGTGTGTCTGTGGCACATTTTGCTCCTGCTTCACTCTCTCTTTCTTGTAGGGCATCTGCTCTGGACATGATACTTTGGGACTGAAGCGCAGTGTTTTTGTCTTCTACTTGTCTGCAACCTGTGTGCACTGTTCCTGGCGCGTCTTCCTCGTCCCAAGCAGAACATATGCCTACCTCCGTCTTTACTGCTGTTGAGTGAATCAGTACAACCTCTGGCTTCCATGCATCAGGTTCTAAAGTGGGCAAAGAGCTTATAGCAGTTTGCTGAAGATTTCCAATGTCCTGCGAGAGGCTGTCAGAGTTTACCTCCGGTGCATATAAGTAAGATGGATTATCTGTCTCCATGTCATCAATCACCTGTGTAAAGTAAGTTCTCCGCCGGCCATCTCTTTCATACATTTCATACTGGGAGCCAAAAGTGTTCAGAATATGTGCCTTCTGCACAGATTCGCTGCGTTGAAAGTTTGGGTTTTTATTTCCTTTCTCTGTTTGGTTGTTAAGGGCTGCCTGAAGTCCGCTGGGCTCCCAAACACTGCGTTTAATCCTGGGATCCACATCCAGCACTGCGGAGTCACCCACAGCAAGGACAGCTGCATAATCAGCTCCTTCAGAGAAGATCACCAACATCATTGGGAATAAGACATCACCATGCATCCTCTGCAGAATTATTAGGCTAGTGTGTATTTTTTTTTGTATCTTCTCGTCTGACCAATAATTTCAGTCCAGATTAATCTCCAGTTAAGAATGCACTGCTTAAAAAATACAGCATGTACAGAATTTCATCTGAACCTTCTGTTTGGAGTAAAACGGGAAACTGTAGATACTTCCCTGTGTGTAATTATTAAGAAAATTATTATTACTCTTAAAATGGGTCAAAAAAGTACCTTACAGACAGTTGGGGAAAACAACAAAACAGTGAAGTGCTAGTAATAGTCTAGCAATTGCCTAATAATGCTAGAAATAGTGTTAGTAATTGCCTTATAATTCTGCGCACAGTGTATTTCAATATTAGGACAGTCATCCAGAGAAATCCAGTAAAAAATAATTAACATCTTCAAGGAACACTGGTCTGGTCTGGAGGAACTCCCCAACATGCTGGAATATTTGGGCAAGTGGATTGAAATGTCTTCATTGCAACAAGTATACCATTTCAGACTTAATGTCTAATATCAAACAATATTCCTTAGAAAACACAAAGCCAATTGATAACATCTCCCCTGGAGCTTTCATCCTCTCCACTCACCCTCCTCAGTCATCTTCATTCTTCTTGGTGATCTGTTCCACACTTCCTTCTCAAGCCTTTCCTTTTTGACATGTGTTGATTCGGGTTCCGTTTTCTCCTTGTCTCCCGACTGTAACAGAAGAATGGGGTGAACAGATTTGCATATGGCCCATATTTTCAACAGTCAAGGGCACAGGATCATCAGGGAAAAACTGCCATCTGATGTTTGAAAGTCATGTTCTGGAAATATCACACTAACACTACAATGCTAATCAAGCCGAGTCGGCTTTAATAGGTAGAACTCAAACAGTTCCAAGTAACTCAAATGATCTAATAATCATCGCTAACTACAATATGTATTTGTAAAATTAGACATTTCATTTCAGTTAAACTCTTTCAACCCAAAACAAAATATGTTTAATTACATAAAATTATGAATCCGTTTTAGAAATAACCACGAACATTTCAACAGGACAGATTAAAGAAACATTTTATTTTTTTATGTAGATACATTGAGCCATTTGTTTTGCAGCTGCCCACATTGAAAGAAACCCAATGTGCTTACATATTTTACAGATATGATTTTGCTGAAGTCTCTTCAAGAGTATATTATCTAATTTAAGGATGCAACAAATTATTTACATACAGTAAACATGATTCAAAAGCATGAACATAGGCCAAGTGTGTGTTTTGTATATCTGTAAGAGAAATACAGAAGAAAATGTAAATTATTATTTAAATTTACCTGATGGGTATTACCTTCCTGAAGAAAAATAAAATTTAATACAGGGGTGACACATGTTTTTCATACAGCAGATTTGGGGAATCGGCGCCTGTGAACTACTGCAGTCAGATAAACACTGTACCTGAATGTCGAGTTACACCCGACATGCTCATGATAAACACCACCTGTCATCTTATCCTTTTAGCGCTTCTCAAGAAAAACACACAAGTCACGCTCAGCTGGAAGAAATACATCCCCACAAAGTTCATTCGGTGCAGACTTCAGCACAACAATGCATCCTGAAGTATTTTACAGCTTTACAGCTCGACACACTTTCAACTGCCACCATTCTTCTACCATGTAGAACTGAGGATTAAAACCTAATTTTTAATAAATAATTACAACTTGTCCCTTACAGGCAATTCAGCCAGCTGCACCAAATATCTACTATATATACACACTACACTAAAAATCAAATGTAAAATAAAATCAACAATTGTTTTACAACAATACATACTGAATTTTAAAGGAAAGACAGAAAGGGAATAAGGCAGTATGAGGCAAATGGTCCCCGGTGCTTTGTCGCTATTTCAGAGGGATTTCCAGATCGCGCTTTAAGGCAGTCCTGTTACTCAGTGGATATGGTGAGCACTTCCTGGGGCTACATCGCCTCTGATGCCTTTTGAGATTACTTGGGTGAGAGAAACTCCTGCCACACATCACACAGCAGAAAGGCCGCTCCCCAGTATGAACGTTCTGGTGAACTTTAAGGTCCCTTGAAGACATGAAACTCTTCCCACACTGCACACATGGAAACTGTCTCTTGCCCGTGTGAATGCTTTGGTGCATTTTAAGGTTACATGACTGGGAGAACTGCTTGCCACAGTGTACGCAGCTAAATGGCTTCTCACCGGTGTGGCCTCTTTGGTGTTCTTCAAACTTCTTTAGACGAGAGAAACTCATCCCACAAAATCTGCAAATAAACCCTCTCTCAGCTGTACCGAGACTGTGCTGGCTCTCAGGGGTGTCTGACATCAAGAATGCTGCATATTCACTCCTGTCTGGCTCGTCACATTCAGAAATTGTGTTCTCTACCGTCTGATTATGTGCTGGGTACATACTGGCCACAATTTCTGGCTGAATTCCTTCTTGCTCCCCATCTTCTCTATAAAATTGAGGTTGTGTGTGAGCTTTCCCAAGTGTAGCCTCCTTGTTCCATGCTGACTGCATATCGCCCTCAAGTTTAATTGTTAAAGAATCAACAATTATGTCTGGCTTCACATCAGTAGCACCTAGAGAGGACAGGCTGCTGGCACCACTGGTCTCTGCAGGAGGAAGAGTCTGTGTCGACAGGCCCTCCGAGTCCATGTCTGCAGCATAAGAGCTGTCGCCGGGCTCCGGGCCAGAGCTCCCGGGGGTGAAGCAGCTCCCCAGATGCCCGGCTCTCTGACACACCGTGAACTCGCAGGCCAGGCCGCTCACACCCTCCGCCCTGCACTCAGTTCCTGTAAGCAGGGGCCTCTGCTTTACACTCTCCTTCTCAGGCTCTGCCTTCAGGACAGTCTCCAATCCACTGACCTCCCAAGCACCGTGACTGCTCCTGTGCTCATCGGCAAGCTCCTCTGTGCTTTTACCGGGCGAAGTCTCTTCGTCCAAAGCGGCTGCCTTCTCATTACCATCAGCAATGGACTGCACAGCTTCTGTATGAAGGGTATATCAAATTAGTTTGTGAGCAATGATACTGCATAGTTAGACATTTTACTTAGACTCTACTGAGAATTCAGTCAATAAGAAACAACCCACCAGCAGAATTGGAAAGAACTGAACCTGTCACCATGTGACAGACGGTAATCAGAAGAGTACCTGAAAACTCTATTCACTCACTTTCCTGTGGAGGCCGCTGTCTCCCCTCTTTACGCGGCTCCTTCCTAATAAGAGATGCTTCCAGAACTGTCTCATTGCTTTCTGCTTTCTGCTGAGAAATTAGTAGTTAGTCTCAGCACTGCACAACGATGCATTGACATGCATTTCTTTAGTTGACATTTGTATAAATCTGAACAGCAAAACCACATCAGTTATCGCTGGCAGCGCTGAAACATGCAGTGAGTAAAATGGCTGCTGCCGCTGAAGATTAACTGCTTTCGCTTTCATGAATACTGTGATCGTACAAAATGTCTAACGAAACCATGTCCAGATTTACGGAAATCAAATGCTGCGGATCAAACAAGTATTAAGTCGAAGTCTAATTTCCACCAGCAGTAGCACGGACAGGCGTACTAACTTTACACAGATAATAATAACGGGGGGAAAAAACTGACGTGTGCCAAAAAATAAATCCTATTTTAGGACGAACGTCCATGTCTAAGAGTAAGATTCGGTTTTCTAGCCCGTATGAAAGCAGACGCTTTAGCGGAGATGGAAGGGCTCTAACATTGTCGCCTGGGCTGGACGGGACTCTCCCTCTCTCCGAGCATCCCTTCGACATCTTCATCTCCATCACCCGTAATTTCCTCCTCAGCTGCTCGTTCTCCTTTTGGCTTTGCGACATTTCCCAGCGCAGCAGCGCGTATCCATCGTCCACCAGCTTGCAGATCTCCGCCACGGCCGCGTTAGCCAACACCTCCATGATGGAGGCCAGCTGCGAGTGAAAACCCACTATATCCGACATTTTTCACCTTCTTTTTGTCTCGGTTTATCAGTGTATTTTAAATGATGCTGTTTTCACCATGTCCGCCCATACATTGGTTTTCTAATAAGATGAGCGCCGATAGTTACATTCGGCCCAAATGTAGCAATCACCAGAAAAGTGGCGCGGGGCCGCGCGGTTGCACGTGCACGCGCACGTTGCGGTGCTCGTGTTCAGCGGCGCGACGTATCAGTGGCTGTGCTCCATAGCTTAATCAGGAATTTTCACGTTCGCTGAAAAATCTCCAATAAATCAACATGATAGCACACATTTTATAAAAATAGTACGTAATTTTGAAACACTTAAACTGATTGAAAGAAATATTCCTTAACATGGCATGTGAATTCATTTAGTCTTCTACCGTTTATCACAAGGTTCTGTTCAACTTGAATGACGTACAATAGCGATATTATATTGTCCGCATATTATCCCCATTTTCCAGAGTAGTTTATTCTTCACTGCTTACTCCAAAATCCTTCGTACATTACCTTGACCGCTGCTCACGAAAAATATGCGCCCTTTGTAAAATACATTCCAAATTCTCATTACAAATCCACGTGAAAAATGAAGAAACATATCTTAACAACACATTTTAAATTTAGTTACCAAATAGTGCCATTATTACATTGATTGAATTGATTAAAACTAATTAGCTGCAAATAAAGCTGTATGTGATAACATGTTCAATAACATCTCAAAAACACAGGGAGACTGCAAAGGGGACTTCTTGTCAGGTGGACTTTGAAGACTTTAAATCAGAAAACCTCTGTCCACACTGTGTGCATTTAAAAAGCTTTTCTGCTTTTCTGCTGTGTGAATACTTTGATGCCTCTTAAGGCTACATGACTGTGTGAATTTCTTCCCACACTGAGGGCAACCAAAAGGCTTTTCCCCAGTGTGGACCCTCTGGTGTCTTTTAAGATTGCCTGATCGAGTGCAACACTTCCCACAATATTTACACATGAACAGCTTATTCTTTGCTCCAACTTTTGCACAAGACTTCACAGTCTCTGGTACAGTGAAATGTTTATAACTGGTTAAAATTCCATTCATCTCTGGGACATAGGATGATAAGGCAGGTGTCACCTGAGGACCTGTGCTGGGTACACTACCTGTCTGAAGGTCTGCTTCCCTGTTTTCGCTGTACTGCTTGTGCTGCATGTGAACCGTCTCTTTGTTCCATGTCGAGTGCATCACATACTCAAGAGATACAGAGTTCATTGGAACGGCATCAGGTTTTGTGCTCAGTGACCCTATGGAGGACAGAACGGGCTGAAATTCCGACGGGACTGAGGAGATCTGTGCAGCTGTAGCATCCAAGCATAGCCGGCCCTCTGCTTCCATTTCGTCAGTCACTGGACTGGGCATCTTGTGCATCAAATGAGCCAAGCAATGAGGACCCAGTGCGTCTTCCCTATGCTCAAATCCTTGGCATCGGAGCTCCTTCTCCGGTTCTGACTTGAGGACCACCTCCATCTCCGAGGCAGTGGTCTCTGGAATGATTTGCCCACCCTGCTGCCACTCAGTGATGCTCTCTGTCCCCTGTGTGGGCGTATTCTCCCCTCTGAAGTTTTCCATCAACTGGCTCCCAAGTACCTCTCCGACCACTAGAGATACAGGGAAAACATGCTATACACTGCAATTCACTGGTCTTACTTGCTAACGCTTTACTTGAGGTGGCACAACTAATGTAGTACTATTATGTATCAATTAACCACAAACTAAGTCTTAGTTACATACTGAACTCTTGTCCATTCATCATTAATGAGTTGTAATGCATTTTATTAGAATTTTGAATTAGATGATCAGTGATCATTGTTGACACACCACAGTACACAGTGCACAACAACGAAATGTGTCCTCTGCATTTAACCCATATGTGACATCGTGACATAGCAGGGGGCAACTAATTCAGCACCCGGGGAGCAGTGCTTGGGAGCAGTAACTTGCTCAGTATACCTCAGTGGTACCTTGCTGGTCAGGGATTCAAACCAGCAATCTTTCAATTACAAGTGCGCTTCCCTAACCATTCGGCCTTCTCAAGCAGTACTACTGGAAGAACTACTCAATGAATAAGTAATGAATGACACATGAAATACTGCTGATCTCATGTTTGTTCATCATTAATAAATCATGACATCTTTTATCCCAAGCAGATTCTATATTTGTTACTATATCTGTTAATTCTGTAAACTTTTGTGAACTACTGAAGGGAATCCTAAAGGAACTACTGTAGGAACTAGTCATGAATAACAAAACTGATCTTATGTTTGTTCATCAATAATGAATATTACTTTCAAGGAAGTAGACAGTGTAAATCTTTTAAAACTGATAGATTCCTGCAGAAAGAAAGGATCAGAAAGGATGCTGTGTTTATCATGTTTTCCTAGGGCAAATTCCTCAAAGACACTGTGGACACAGACTCTACATGCTATGCTGTAATTGCACTTTTACTTACTCTGCTGGCTAGTATTCTGCAGGTCATCCTGCCCACTGCTATCTAAGACTTCCTCAAGTTTCTCCTCTTTGATAGGCAGGCATTCAGACTTTGTTTGCTTCACATCAGCATGCTGCAACAGTACAACGAAGACTGGCATCACTTACTACACAAGTCCACGTGTCTATAAAATTCTATGTAATTAAGGCAAAGACAAGTTCCCGACGCATTTGCACTGCAATAACACATCTTATTCTATTCTATATACAGAAACATCTTACATAGCTTAAGCTAAATAATTGTTGCAAATATTTTATACAACAGCTTGTGTGCGACTATTGCAGGCGCTGGCTAACCTTGTCCCCCCTTACAGCAGCTCGTGTCGATGCGGCCAGTGGAGGCGGCGCAGGTGTCCCTTCATCTCCACGCGCAGCTAATGTCAGATGAGGCACGCAGTGCATCGCTATACTGGGAGAACCACGTTCTGGGAAAAAAAAGAGAATCACAGAGATAGTCGTCCATCATTAGCATATGCTGCAAACATGAAAGCGATTATTAGGCGGTGAATATCTACAAAAAATACAACAGTACTATTTTATATTATCAGAAGATGCGGTTTCAAGTTTTATTGCCATGTGTTATTGTCACGGAGAAGCAGAGTGAAAATCTTATACCACAGCTGCAGATGAGTGCACAGGTGTATGGTTGGAACATATGCTGCACAATGAGACAGAACAGCGCAAGCTAAGAATCATGAACAATAAATAAGCAAGAAATACGTGATGCGATGCGTGAAGCCATACGCCATGACAACAGCCTCCAGCTAACCAAATATCACTTATGAACAATATGTACTACGGAGAGAATCGTACCTGTTAACCCCCGAACTTTACCAAAAACCTTGACTTCACTAGTACTGTTATTAAGAGCGTCCCCTAGCCTCACAGATGCCCTTTCCGCACGATTCTTCGCACCCATCTGCTCCATCATCATTATTTTCATTTTCAGATCATCGTTCTCTTTTTGCCTTTGTGAGATTTCCAAGCACAAAACCGAATAGCCATCATCTACAAGTTTGCATATTTCTGCTACAGCCGAGTTTGCTAATTCTTCCATGATGAGGGCAAGCTTTTCCTGAAAAGCTGTACGATTGGACGTCATAATTGGCTGCACAAAAGACTAATTTAGTGTCTTTTGAAGGTTACGCTTTGTTTATTAGCTAGGATGAATTAATAACGGAAATCGTTAAAGCTAAGAGTAATACATGATAACGATATCCTACAAACTAGGACAAAGTAGTGACGGAAATTAGTAATGCCGATACCGATATCCTACAGACATGAGGGGAACAAAAAAACTGCGAGCCCGCTCGTCACTTCCTGGGGAACTACAATAACAACACATCAACTTCCGGTCCGACAAAGCGACGTAGTCTGACCTCTGCTGTTTACTAGCTATGCTGTTATAAAAGGCTTATACCTGACTGTGTATTCCGGAGCATGGACATTTAAAAATTGTTTTTTTCTCTCTCTCTCTTCAATTTACCAGAAATGCATGTTGCCAAAGCAACATGCATTTCTGAGAAACAGGCCCAGCCAGTTTCAGGAGCAATTAGGGGTTAAAGGCCTCGCTCAGGGGCCCAATCATGAATCACTCTGCTAACCCTGGGATTTGAACTAGCAACCTTCCATCACAGACACTATATCCTAGCAAGCTGAGCCACACACTGCTATCAAACAGTGCTAAAAATGTTACTTATTCAATGGGTTCATTTAAAGTGTTATCTGTATTGTTTTTCATAATTATAAATAAATGCTAGAAGTTTGAGGGGTAGCTGTCGTAATGGAAATATGATTGTCTGGACTTTATTTTGGAAATACCCAATTTACTGTTTTGTCATAAATCAATGTTTAAAAATTGCTGCACAAGAAGAGATGTCAGCAGAATTTCATTGTACTGCAGTGTAATGATAATAAAGCTGTCATCTCTTATCCTATTCAAAATTGTATGGCTATAATGGTATACTTCAAAGGCACGTCGATTCATCTGGATTATAACTTGTGTTTTGCTTTATATTATAATGTATTTGCAAGTAGTCACAAAACATATATGTAGCAAAACATTGTCAATTATGAAAAAAAACCTAGTTTCCTGCAAATGTATTCAAACTCTTATCTAGTGCTATACATCAAAATCTTGTTTTCTGTTTTATCCAGAAATCTTGGGTTAAATTAATGCACCCAATATAGTTAAAATAACAAGAATTAGAATGTAAGTATCTATTTATCCAAATTGGTATGTGCACCATATGGCCAAAAGTATGTGGACACCAGTGTCAGGGTCCATTCATGATGTGAATTGAGAATGCATAATAAATTCCAATTCAGTTCCTGGAATCATCATCTCAGAAGTTTTTTTTTACACATTTTGTTAAATAGAAAGATGTCACTTTCAGATTTATAGAAACAAAAAATGAAGGTCTCACATATAGTATATTATACGACACATGTAGTATAATATTTGTAACAATATTTTATTAAATCAAGGTTATACAGTACAAAACATTGGGGCATGTTCACAGATATTAGTACAATACACATTTGCTAGTAAATTCTAATATTTATATGTAACAATATATGATTTCAAAATGGGTCCTCAAGAATCATGATAAACTTTCAAATGTGTTTTAAGATTGGAGGATTGATTGAATTTCTTTCCACAATGGACGCAAATAAACGGCCTTTCTCCACTGTGAAATCTTTGATGTTTCCTAAGATTACTTGCATCTGAAAACCTTTTGTCACAGTATGTACAGCTAAATGGTTTTTCTCCAGTATGAACTCTCTGATGTATTTTTAGACCAGTTGAACGAGTACAACTCTTCCCACAATATTTGCATACAAACCTTTTCTTTCGTGTTCCAAATCTGGCATTCGTCTTCACACTTTCTGATGCAGTAAAACATTTATAACCAGGTATAAACATGTCAACATCTGCGGCATACGATCTAGGAGCTGTTGAAAATGCTACAGCTGTCATTTGTGCATCCATCAAACAGCTCTTGGTGACACTGCCTGCCTCAGTGCCCTTTCTTTGCCCATTTTCACCATCATGCTTGTGTTGCACGTGAACCACTCCCACCTCTGTGTCTTTCTTCCATGCTGAACACACTTCATACTCCCTACTGAAAGACAATGAGTTGGTTTGAATAACTTTGTGTTTTTCATCTAGAGATCCAAAACGAGGGAAACAATTATCAGAACTTTTCTCTGTAGGCAGAGTACACTGTAGCTCTGGCTGAACAGACAAGTTCTTTATTTTACAGCTATAGGTAGTGTGTTCAGTGTCCATTTCTCCTTTATTTTGACAAAAAGACCTTGACTGATTGGGAGTCTCATACATAATGTATTCAGAGTTCATATTGTTCACTGTTTGTAGATTGTGTTCAGATATTGCATGCTGGGATCGTTGGTTTCTACTCTCTTTCTCTGTTTTTAGATCAGTTTCCAATGCACTGCTCTCCCAAAAATCATAAGTGATCCCCTGGGGCAGAGAAAGACTTTCCTTGTCCAAAATAAGAGCAGCTTTCTCACAATCCAGAAGCACCTGCTCTGTTCCTGAAGAGGGGGATTAAAAAATACAACACACATTACAACAAATATACTGCATCTGCAAATGTCTGATATAAGATTGGCAATGCAACAGCAAAATATAAATCATATTTGGCAAGGATGTGACCGGGAACTTGAGCAAACAAATTGGGCTGTCAAAATCTAAACCTGGGGCCTGTTTCACAAAGCAGTATTTCTTGCTTAGCCGGATAACTTGCCAGATTTAAGGTACCTCAGTTAAAATGTGCTCACTTACATTATCAGATTTATGGGTAGTCTGGGTTAAATGTATCTGGCTGAGGAAGAAATCCTGTTTTGTGAAACAGACCCCTGGACTGACACTAATCTGAACACATTAAAACCGACCAACAACGACCATTTCAGCAATACCCAAATATTTATTCAAGTTACAAGTGTTTTTTGCACGCTTCACATACTTTGGTCACTGACGTTGATATCCACATCTTGAACTCTGCTTCCAAATTCCTCTTCAGCATCTTCCTCCTTGATAAACAGAGATTCTGGCTTTCTCTCATTTACAGCTACACACTGGAAGAGAGTTTTGTGGTAAACAATTAAGATGGAACTATACGAGTCCAAATGTATACCGTCTAATAATTAAATAACACCTGGAATATGACAAACTTAGGATACAGCCCTAGATAGAGTAAAACCCTACACATGAAACCATAACAATGTGTGTTAGTGTACGGCATGTACACAGTGTCAAGCATTTTTTTAATATTTACAAACAAACCAAAAATAATCTTTACATAAAACATCAAACTTACACACGGGATCAAGCATAACAATCATCGTCACAAACTACGGCGTACAATCAAGTTTTGAAAAATAGTGAGGTTCGGGACCCGAGGGTGGGTCTCGTCAATCACATTATTGTTACCGTCCCCTGATAAGCGGTTTATTTTTAAAAAGTAATTAGCTAAAAAATTAATCCTGGTCAGCATGATTTTTATTCAGGTGAATATTTAGCTTCAAATTTTATTTTTAACTCATAAAAAATTACCAAGGTCCGGGCCTCGGTGACCTCATACCTGGGACACGCTTAGTGCAGGTTGTAAGGAGCGGTCGGTAGCGGTGCACACTCCATCTCTCCACACACCCACACCCAACTGCATGTCAAGGTCTCTGGCTTTGTTGGGAAAATTAGCCCCTGGGACAGCGCAGGGAAATTGGGGAACTTCAGTATCAGACAGTTTTACAGATAGAGAGAAGGCAAGGAAACATATCAATCAGCGAAAACAATAAAATGCAAAACGAAAACATCTCAATCGACCCCGTACCCTGTAATTTGTCGCGATCCTGGACATCAGAGTTAGAACAGCTGTTTATTGCATCGACCCGGCTTGTCCCACTTGTCTCCCTATATTCTTGTGCAAGTACCAGCTCTAACATCTTTAATTTGCCCTTCAAGTCTTCATTTTCTTTCTGCTTTTGAGATATCTCCAGCCGTAACACTGCATAACCGTCATCGACAAGCCTGCAAATTTCGGTCATAGCCGCCTTGGCTAACTTGTCCATTATAGAGCCTAACTGCTCGTGGAAACCAGTATGGTAAAGCATCGTGCTACGATGAACACCGGATTAAACTAAGTCTTCTCCCCGAACAGTCGACTGTAGTTTATTCATTGGCTACATCTGCAGGGTATATCTGTGAGATTAGTAATTAGTTGTTATCATGACGTCAATTTTCCACGATAACAGTGTGCACAGATGACTGGCGCGTTTCTACCATGTCACTTCCTGTTATTGTGGGACACGTCTGATTTTGAAACGAAATGTTAAAGCGAAGATGGGTTTTTATCTGTACTGCTTTAGGTTTTTTTTTTTTGGACTGACACATTAATACACCCGGCATAACGATATTTACTCGAAGCTAATGCTGAACGTGTTCGTCACTTCCCGGCACATACAATGCCTTCTGGGTAATGTAGGTATACTAATGAGGATACTATATTATTAGATTAGATTAGATTAGAAGCTTTATTTGTCATTGCATAAAATACGTAGTATTAAACACAACGAAATTTAGAGTTGCCACTCTTAGTCAGTGTTTTAAAACCAATATAGTTAAGAATTAACAAATCTGCCCCAAGGCAGCCTACCCACACTCACTCATACACTCCCCCCAAACCTATTCACTCCTCTCACCCAAAACATTAGTCCCCACCTTCCAACCAAAACAAGACACTCCCCTGCACAAAGGTATAACATCATAGTAAACGTAACAGCATCAGACTATCAAATGCCTGTTGTTAAAGTGCGATGGTGATGAGGATAAAGTGATCAAATACAATTTCCAGAGACATAGTTAATCATTGCAGACGGTGGAAGGAGGGGGGGGGGGATTGGGGTGGTGGGTGACCAATGTCTGCAGAGGGATATTGTTTTTGTTAAGTGAACGTATGGCCCAGGGAAAAAAACTGTTGGAAAGTCTTGTAGTGCGGGCGTTTAGTGACCTGAACCGCCTGCCGGAGGGAAGCGGGTTGAACAGGTGGTGGGCCAAATCGAAGACCATGCCTCAGTTTTTGGAACTTCATTAATAAGAGATAAAAAACAATGCAATAACAGACTACGTGCTGTACAGTTCAAGGAAACCAAAAACGGGAGGGGGGATTTGGCAAAGTGACATTTATGTCTGTAATATTCTGTTATGATGATGTTTATTAATTAACAATTCAACATGCCTGTTCTTCAGGGCTCCTAACTGGATGGCTCTGAATGAGAAGAAATCTATGTTTATGGATTTGGAGCTCAGCCGGTTGTGCAAAGATTTCCACAAGTTTTGGATCATGTCACAAGTATAAAACTAATTCTCTGTTTCTACATTTGTGGAATGGAATGGAATGACCCTTTATTGTTGTTGCTGTTGAAATATCATGTCTCTAGTCAGAAGTACCAGCGAAAAACTGGCCATCAACCTGACCTTACATATACAAACATCACATTATAGGGGGTAGACAGGTCAGGAAGACGGGGGATATAGGACGAACAGAGAAAACAGAATTACATGAGGAGAGAAGAGGCGAATAAAAAAAACAGCTCCCAGACTGTACTCCAGTAGGGAGTAAAATGTAGGAACAGAAAAAAACACCTCAGCAACATAAGCACATAGTCACTACACCTTACAACATAAAAAGTCGTGACTCGCAACAGGGGAGGGAAATGGGGAGGTGGAGGTAGTCCAGCATAGACAAACAGCCATCCGGTCCTGCAGCCATAGAGGCGCTGGTCACAGACCCGCCTGTTCACGCTGGGGGAATGAAGCGGCGAAGGCGTGGGATGGGGGGAGGGTGTCCTTGGGATTGGGGGAGAGGAATGCAAGAGTCTCTCACTGCCTTGTTCTTCCAGGGGAGTTGTTAATTCAGCAGCGGCCTTGGCCAAGGCCAGTGCTGATTAGGGGGGAGCCAAAAGCAGATAGGATAGGGTTGTTTGGGTTTTCAGGTGAGAAGCTGTAATTTTGCAGCTCCTAAAATGTCCACGCTGGTCTCTGCCATCCAAAATCCTTTGCAGAGCCATGAGCTTCTCCGTGATGTTATCAAATATGCGATCCATAGTCACAGTGATGTTATCCAATTTGCGATCTATAGCCATAGTCCGAGTGCCAACAGCTCTGCCAACTCCGTCAATCATCCCGGCCAGCCTAGTGGGGCTTTGAGCAGCTGTCACCGTTTTCTTCAATTTTCGATAAGTCAGGGCAATGCCTAATCCAATCAGCATCAGACCTGTAATCATGGTTCCGAATAGGTAAATATCTTCAATGCCCTCCACGGAAAGAGCTGCCAGACACACGACCCTCCACTTCTCCCATCCGTCCATCGTGTAGCCAGCTGCATACGTTCCTGCAGGACAGTCAGGTTCCCCCGAACCTGGGCTTCTCGTCGAGAAGATGGTGTCAATTGCGTTGAGAGACCAGTTGATCAAATCCATGATTTTCTTAGTTTTGAAGAGCAGGGCTGAGAGAGTCTCTCAAGTATGAGACAGTAGACTAGACGAGACGAGACGAGAGGAGCAAAGCAGGGAAGATAAGGGGAGGGAGAGGGAGAGAAGTGCGTCCACCTCCGCTGAGAGCCAAGAGATGTGATGCACAGATAACAATAATCTACATGAATATTAAGTATAAATGTCATTTACAGTTAAAATGTACTTCATTATTTTTAGGGCAATTGTTCTCATCAATATTTCAGATTTTCCATGGTTTGAGATTAAATGTCCTCTACCAGACGGTAAATTTTTACCAAATATTGGCTGAAAAATGTATTATTTTACCTTTTACCATAGTCTATGTATAATTTTGAAATGTAGGTGTTGGCATGTTATCTAGATTGTTTCAATAAACTGAACAAGTACTGGAAAGTTCAGTGTCACCATGATATAATTTTTAGCGGATACGATAAAACAAAATCATTTTTTTTTAATTACAGTACTGTGAAATAGATGCGTAGCCATAAATCAAACAAACTGCTAGCTTGTACATGCCACACATTATATGAGGTCCAACACACAAAAAAAAAACACAAGACTCACCCTAAGGCTTGGGAACCAAGAGTGGGAGTGGAGAGACAAACGGACAGCCATAGAACATGTCCTGACCTGTTACAGTTTTACAGGCTCAACTCGATTGTCTCACTTGGTGCAAGTGGATGCATCTTCAAATATAAGTGTGTTCTTAGCCTTGGTCGAAAAATGTGGGACAGCAAAAGTGAATGACTTAGCATCAAGTTTCTTGTTAAATTGAAGAAATCCACAATGGAAACTTTTCAATAATTCACAGAGGCTTACAGTGAAGATTGTATGTCTCGTGCAGTAATGCCACCTCTGCTACGTGATAAAGTTCTGAGATAAAAGTCAGTGAAGACAGAGAAGGAGCTGCGATCCATGGGCACTCTGTAACCCTGCTAATTCATCCCAGTTGTGTCCCATTGTTGATGTTCTCCTGATTGTTCTCCGCCCAAGTGTGTTAACTTCATGCACCTGTCTCCCATCGGTGATCCCTATATAAATGTGCCTGCTATCACAGTGTTCCCCAGCTTGGTCATTGTCAACATCTGTCATCATATGTAAGGTCTGGTGTATCTTCCAATTAAAGTCCATAGGACCCGGGGACATCAAAGGAAATGACACAGGGGGAACACCAACCGGAGGAAGCAGGAGTAAACAAAGGAGAAACAGAGGGATGAAGAGCAAACACAGCGGGCACAAAACCAGGGGGCACCACACTAGGAGGCAAGTAGGCAAAGGGTGGGGGGAACCAAGCAGCCGGAGAGAACCCTGGCGGGCGGAAGACGGGAGCTGCAGGGGCAGCTGGCAACCGTGAGGCTGGAGCCAGAGGGACCCTTGGTGACTGCAAGGCCGGAGCCAGAAGGGATGTCGAACGGAGCGAGGAGGAAAGCGGAGGGACTGCAGGAGGAGGCGAAGAGGGAGGCGAAGGAGACACTGGTGGAGGGGAGGAAGGAGCAGAAGCCATGGCAGACGAAGGCATAGCCTTCTATGAGACTGAGAGGCAGGGACCCAGCCAGGATCTGCCATGTCGGGGAAGTGGTCGGGGTTACCCACCGGAGGGGTTCATCGGAGCAGTCAGGGTGATTCCCGAGGGGTCCCACTCGAGCTCCTCCTCCACCTCCACCAAGGGGGGAGGAGCAGTGGTCCGATACTCCAGGACCTCCTCAGGGACAGGGACTGGGGCCCTGGGCACTAGAGCCGAAACAGGTTCTGGGAGATCAGGGACCTCCTCGGGGAGGAGAGCCGGGGGGTTAGGAACAAGAACTGAGGCAGGAAATGGGGGGTCGGGAGCAGGAATGGATGCAGGAACCACGGGGGGTGGAGCAAGAACCACACGGGACAGAAACCACAGAGGGCGGAGCAGGAGCCGCCTGAACAGGAACCACAGTGGGTGGAGCAGGACCCACTGGGACAGGAAACATGGAGGGTGGAGAAGGAGCCACCGTAGGAACTGCCGGTACAGGAACCACGGGGGTTGGAGCCGGGGTTTGCACCTCGGCAGCGGGTGCCGCCTTTTTCAGGGATTTGGGGATCCGCGGGATGGTATCCCCCAGAGCCATGGCACCCTTCAGTGCCAAGCATGTACCCCGAAAGGTATGGGCTTCAGGCGCTGCCGGGTTAAGAATCGGGAGGGGCTCCTCCCAACTTGCTGCAGGGGAGGCAGTGGAAACCAAGACGTACCCCAGGAGGACCTGCAGCATGTCCTCCCTTCTTTGGTTTCTCCGGTTCTTCTTCTCTCCTGCAGCTTTCGGCGGAGTCTGGGGCACTTCCAGCAGCTCTGAAAGCGGACCATAGTGTAGTCTGCTTTCCAGGGCTACCCGCCACATCTTTGACTCCGCCACCCCTCTTCGTAGCTGCTGCAAATTTCTTCACACCTCTTCAGTGAGGTGCGAGTCCTCGGATAGGGAAATCTTCTATAAGATGTCTCTGCTCCGGTCGGCTAGAGCCTGAGCCAGGGGGTCGTCCTGAACCTCAGGCTGATTAAGCCAGTAAATTACCTCATTCACAAGACCGAGGTACTGGTCCTCAGTCAGGGGAGGCATCTTCTTTGCCAGTTCTGTCATTCTGTCATGCCACGGGGAAGTACAGACCAGGAAAACAGGAGCAGGACTTGAGGAGACGGGATAATACAGGATTTAATCAGGGAAAGATACATGGGGCACACACAAATGACGCTAAGACGTTAATGACAGAATTGGGGAAAGACTGACAGGGAAGCTCTTAAATACAGGGAC